TTTCCCCAACCTCTCCTTTCCCTGCCCCCCCACCCGCCATAGAGTGTCTCTGGTTCATAGTTGTTTGTCGATTTTGATATTTTCTTTCTTATAGTTATTCTTTTTCCTGGTCCCTTATTTAAGTTTTCTAGATTCCTGCTATGAGTGAGACCATCCGGTATTTTTCTTTTTCTTTCTGGCTTATTTTGCTGAGCATGATCCCTTCCAGCTTCATCCATGTTGCTGCAAATTGCATGTGTTTATCTTTTTTGAATGCTGAGTAATATTCCATGGTGTATATGTACCACATCTTCTTGATCCAGTCATCTATTTTTGGGCATTTGGGCTGTTTCCAAAGCTTAGCTATTTGTAAATAGTGCTGCTATAAACATAGGGGTGCAGGTGCTCTTTGGAATTAATGTTTCTGTGTCCTTTGGGTAAATACCTAGGAGTGGAATTGCTGGATCATATGGAAGCTCTGTGTTTAGTAGGTCCAGAAATCTCCACACAGCTCTCCATAGTGGTTGGACCAGTTTGCACTCCCACCAGCAGTGCAGGAGAGTTCCTTTTTCTCCACAACCTCGCCAACATTTGTTGTTGCTAGTTTTTTTAATATGTGCCATTCTCACTGGTGTAAGATGGTACCTCATTGTAGTTTTGATTTGCATTTCCCTGATTACAAGTGATGTTGAACATTTTTTCATATGCCTGTTGGCCATTTGCATTTCCTCTTCAGAGAAGTTTCTTTTTAGCTCTTCTGCCCATTTTTTGACTGGATTATTTTTTTTGTTTTTGTTGAGTCTCATCAGCTGTTTGTAGATTTTTGTGATCAGTCCTTTATCATTAGTGTTGTGTGCAAAAATGTTCTCCCAGTCGGTGGGGTTTCTCTTTGTTTTGGTTATTGTCTCTCTTGCTGTACAGAAGCTCTTTAATTTGATGTAGTCCCAGCTGTTTATCTTTGCCTTCACTGTCACTGCTTTGGGTGATGTGTCTGTGAAGTTGTCTTTGATGTGCATATCACGTAGTGTTTCGCCTATATTTCCTTCTATGTATTTTATGGTTTCAGGTCTTATGTTTAGTTCTTTAATCCATTTTGAGTTGGTTTTTGTGCATGGTGTTAGGTAGTAGTCAAACTTCATTCTTTTGCATGTAGCAACCCAGTTTTCCCAGCACTATGTATTGAACAAACTTTCTTTGCTCCAATGCATATTCTTTGCTCCTTTGTCAAAGATTAGTTGACCATAAATCTGTTGGTTTATTTCTGGATTTTCTATTCGATTCCATTGATCTGTGTGTCTGTTCTGGTTCCAATACCATGCAGTTTTGATGATTATGGCTTTGTAATGTAGTTTGAAGTCTGGGAGTGTGATGCCTCCATTCCCTTTTTTTTTTTTTTTCAGGAGAGCTTTGGCTATTCGGGGTTTTTTTGTGATTCCATATGAATTTCATCAATAATTGTTCTATTTCTTTGGAGAATGACATCAAAATTTTTATTGGAATAGCATTGAATCTGTATATTGCTTTTGGTAGGATGGCCATTTTAATAATGTTTATTCTTCCAATCCATGAGCAGGGGATGTCTTTCCATTTCTTTGTGTCTTCTATTTCTTTTAACAGTGTTTTATAGTTTTCTTTGTATAGGTCCTTTACCTCTTTTGTTAGATTTATTCCCAAGTATTTGATTTTTTTTGTTGTTGTTGCAATAATAAAAGGGATGGTTTTTTTGATTTCTTCTTCTTCAGATTTATTGTTTGTGTATAGGAAAGCTACTGACTTTTGTGTGTTGATTTTGTATCCTGCCACTTTACTGAACTGATTGATGAGTTGGATTAGTTTTTCTGTGGAGTTTTTGGGGTTCTCTATGTATGTTATCATATCATCTGCAAATAGTGATCGTTTGACTTCTTCTTTTCCTATTTGGATTCCTTGTATGTCTTTCTCTTGTCTTATTGCTCTGGCTAGGACTTCCAGTATTATATTGAAAAGCAGTGGTGAGAGTGAACATCCTTTTCTTGTTCCAGATCTTAATGGAAATGCTTTCATCAAACTGTCATCTCTTTGATAACAGATTTGTGTGAAGGATTAGTCTAATGTCAAGATGTAACATTATCATTGAATGTGTTCTGTTGTTTTATGTACCTGTCCTTATTTTTTAATAGATTGTAGTAATGCTTCTTTTTTCTTTTAATAAAATAGTCAAATATTTGACCAATTTAGCATTATGAAATGTAAATAAGATTGAAGGAAATGAAATATCCTCTAAACTGCTAGAATTGATGTCATAGTGGCCGTGCACTAAAGGGTACACGTAACTTATAGGAAAGTCTCCCAGCTTTAGGAATAAGAGAAGGATTCATAAAATCACCAAAATGTAAAGAAAAAGGAAACTTGTACAAAGGCTGTTTAATGAGTGGCTCAAGCAGCAATCTCTGTAGGTATATATCCTACTAAACTCTAACATGGTCACTTTTAAAGATATATGATAGCACAAAAACACTGCTTACTATAATACTGGTGAGCATATATAATGGTTAATTTCAGTACAAGTTGCCTTCTTAAGGAACATGTTCTGTGTACATTATTGATGAAACTAGAAAAGTGTGACATAGTACTACCGAAAGAGTTTCTTGAAAATATTTTGATAGTTTTAGTATGTAAGAAAATTAGTTTCATTTGTCAGAGAAGTTTAGTTAGGCCAACTTGCCAGAAAAATGAATTGCTGGGAACACCTACACATTTGTCCTTTTCTGCACATTTGCAGAAACATACCCTAGGTCTGGATTTCATATACAGTTATATAGATATATAGAATTTTATAGAATAATTTTAATATATATTATGAATACATATATTTATATTTATAGAATAATTAGCATGCTATAATAAACTGAACAATATTTAATGATAATTCTTATAATCCTTAACCTGAACTAACTAATCTATAACAAAGCATTTGATAAGTGACTATAAATACAATTCAGTTATTTTCATCTGTATTGCAAATTATTAGATCAAGAAAGATTCTTTTTTCCCCCATATCTTATTTTGAGCAAGTAAACAGTAACCAAAGGAATTTTCTCCACATGTTAGCTTCAGTTTTTCAGTGATAGAGATTATACATCTATCATGTCTATAATGGATTAAATTTTCTTGCACAATAATTTGAACCTTTTAGATACTTTATGGAATTCCGTATGTCCTTTACTAGAATTTTTTGATAAATTCTTCATTATGTTATGGTTTATACTATTTCTCAACATTTTTGCTTTCTGGTCTTGTAAGAGCAAACTGCCTTTGTGTTTTTGTTTGTTTTGTTGTTTTTGCACGTAACACTATAACATAGGCATCTCTCATTGTTATTCATTCTATGTGAACATTTGTCCCATGTGAATTGCTTAATATCCGCAACTATTCCTTTATTCTTAGTTATACAGGGTTTTCCACTTTCTCTCTCTTAGTGATTGCATCATCTTTATGCATGTAATTGTATTATTGGCTTAGATTATATTTCTAATAGTGGAATATATAAGGATACTGCAATTTCAGGGCTCTTGAATATATTGCTCATTAGCATCCCTTAACCTAGAAAGTATTAGAATACTCTTAGAATCATGGAACCACATGTCCAGAAAAAGTGACAGGCCGCAGTTCAGTGATCACAAATAAATTGCACCTCCTAGGTCAGGTCTAAGAGATTTGTAATCGTTGCCTGGGGTTCTGTTTTGTGAGACCATAACAGGGCAGCAGTTGACTGAAGATGTCTTCTGTATGCTTGAGAAGGGTAGGGCCAGTCTAAGAGGCAGATAATTGCCCTTTGTACTTTTCACTAAAATAAAAAAAAGAAAACTTTTTATTGCCTTGAACTTCAAAATTGGGTAGAAAGCTTGACTTAGATCAAAAGGTTTTATCTTAATAAAAGTTAATTTTGTAATTTTAATACAAACACACTTGCCACTTTCAGAAAAATAATTATAACCATGACTATAATTGTAGCTAGGTGTTCGTCAGAACTTATTTCAACATTTTTGTTAAAAATATCTGATTTATGTATAACAACATTTTGACTGATTTTCATTCAGGGAAACATTGTAGATTACTATGTAGTTCATATTCTACTCCAAATCTATGAAATCCTAGTACATATTTTCCTCTCATTTGTTCTAGGTATGCTTGCAAAAAAATATTTAAAATTATGAAGAGATTCACATAAAAAGCGATTATCCTGTAGCCTTGACATTAACAGGAATTATGGGCAAATAGTGCACTAGTGTTAGTACCAAGCTGTCTGAAAAGCAACTTAACTTTCTGTTATTCATAACAAAATGTATTTTCTTGTTCTTTTTAGATATTCTTTTGAGTCACCAACTTTATCATTCTCCAAAAGTAATTTTCAGTAGATTTTCTGAATAGAAATTTAAAGCTGTCATCCAACTCACCCTTTGAATTGTCAGTTTTATTTCTTTTGCTTCTAGTCCTTAACTGTGATTTTAGGAAGATGCTTAGTCCTTTCATCTGCAAATTAACAGTTACATAAAATTACTCTTCCTATTAACTATATAGTTTATTACTGTTTCAGGGTTTCAATCTCAGTTATTTCTCATGCATTGAATTCACATGATGTTCCTAGTGAGCAGATGTACTGAATTTATGAAAAATATTTTCTTCAGATAGTTAAATATAAAAACGAATAATAGTTCTTGTCATTTACACATAAGAACCACTTTCAATATTATTAAGGACTCATTTAGCCATTGGATTATCTCCTCTGTATGTAAGAGAACAAATTTTTAAAAACTCAAATGCAGTCCTTTTGCATTCACCAGTATGTGCATTTCTCAGTTTTGGATGTCGAGTCTCTTATTCTTCCTACCTTTCAGTCATCTAGTTCCTAATGCTTTACAGTCAAAACTGTGTTTTTGTACCCCATATAATATAATTCTCCTTGTCAGGGGCTTATGAACTTCTCCCCAGTTAAATATGAACTATCATTTTGATATTTCTTTTTGTGTGAATTCTTACAGCTCTCCACACAAGGCGATGCAAGTCAGGTGATTGGGCCTCTGACTGACGGGCAAAGAAGAAATGTGGCAGTGGTGAATTCACTATTTAAGTTGCATCAGTCAATAACAAAGGTAACTTTAATTTTTTTTATTTAATTCCAAGCTCTTCCTTCTTGTCTCAATTTAGTAAACTTACAAATTATTTTATTTTTTTGAAAAAATACAATGAAAATATGGTTTTAAAATAAGCTGAGAATTTAACTCATTTTAAAGTCATGGATCTGACCTTTCTTATCAGCATGACTTTTTTTTTTTACAATGTCACAAAAATTACATGATTTTTTTTAATGCATGAACTTTAGATCCTCATGTTGGTTGGCATAATCATGTATAGTATATGTGCTTCATACCTATTGAAAAGTATAATTTGATAGCATGTAGATAGTAGTAAGTTATAGTGAAACTAATGACAGAATAAGAATATTTAAGCCCTCCACCATGTCACATGGTTCCAACTTTGCACAAAAGGAAAGGGGGGGAGGCTATATTAAAAACTGAATTTATGATATAATCACCAATGTTTATTTGTAAGTAGAAAGTATATATTCTTTTTGCTATTGTGCTATTAGTGCTTTATTTTATTTTTTAAAGATTTATTTTTATTTATTTAGTCATACAAGAACTGGGATGTATCCCAGAGGTATGGGGGTGAGATTCACCAGAGACAGAGTGGGGAGCAGAACAGGCAGATCTATTGAAATACATGTTGAGGGGAGCAGCGAGTGAGACAGGAGAGGTTTGCTGTGCCATGTGGGTTAGTTCCCTGGCCAGGGATTGAATTCATGCTGCAGTGACTGGTGACAGCTTCATCATGCTGAGTCTTAACCCCTGAGCCACCAGGAAGGCCCCCTGTGCTTTTATTTTTAAATGCGTAAACTTTAACTTGTTTTCATAGGAGTATACATTATGTATATGCCCTTTAACTTTTGAGTAGCCTTCTATAAATCAAAATATTTAGCAAATAGGGAGATAAATATTTAGAAGACTTAAAATTTTAAATAAGTCCTTTTACCAAAATTATATATTTTGGGTTTCCAAAAAGATATATTTAACATAATAAATAAAATTACTTGAAGAGTTACTAACAGGTAAATCTCAGAAATGTAAATCGCAGAGAAAAATAAATAAAAATCACAAATGATATACTTTCCATTTTCTTTAGTTATTACTCTAAGCACCACAGCAATAAAAGGTTGTTGTCTATTTTTACCCTGATTTAAATGTCTTTATTGATAATTTCAGAATTTTCATGTTTGATTTGTAAAAAGGAAAATGCTTGACATTTGTATTTAAAGACTTGTTGAAAATTACTCTCAGCCTAGAAAAAATTGAATATTTTGAAATAAGTAAATGTGTTTTTAGATTGACATTTCAAGTTATGAATTGTTAATGTATTGATTAGCTGAAGTTTATTTATTTGCTTTAAGCATAAATGTATTTTCAACCTATCTTAACTAATAAATACTGGTGAGTTTTTAAAACCTGTATGAAATATGACTCTGAAGTAATGATACTTATTCTTTTATATGTGGCTTATGGAAACATGTTATCATCAAAATAAATGATTTAAGCAAATCTATAACTGGATCAAAACCTTGTTCTAGGTGGTTTCCAATCAGAGTTCATTCCCACCAGCAGCTGAGCAAACTATAATTTCAGCCCTAAAGGTAACGAAATTTAATTTAATATTTGACTAAAGATCAAAGTGGGTTTTAGAATTATTTGTTTGGCTGAATGGAAAAGTCACATTTTAAAAATAATTTAAACTCTTCTATATATAGTAGAAGTAGCATTTGACAGTTTTCCTAAAGAAAGAAGATACTTGTGTGTGTATATTTTCTAGAATTTAAAAATAGACCTTTATGATATTTACAGGCTGTTCTACTTATGATGATTGTATGGACAGAAACAAGAATCTTTTGGTGTTCACTGTTTCTTGGGATGGTACAGCTCAGTATTACCCCAGTAAAGCAGGGGATTTCCATTCAAGGTGATTTTCTGCCCTATGGGACATTAATGACATCTGGAGATATTTTTTGATTGTTATGACTGGGAGTAGGATGCTGCTGGCATCTAGCACCAAAGATTCTGTTTAAACATGCTGCAATGTATAGCACAGCCCCCACCAGCAAAGAATTATGAGGCCCAAAATGTCAGTAATGCTGAGGTTGAGAAACTGCTTTAACAGATCTGTAAGATGTGAAACCAAAGTATATTCCCATTTTTTTATACATAGTATGCACTATAATGTACCCCCTTTCTAATACTCAGTAAATTAAATAAAAAGTAATATTCGTGTAAGATTCACAGCCATATGTAGTTGACAGTAGGTAACTCTTAAGAAAACAAGGAAATTATTTCTTTTAATAGTAAGATAGCCTTTATTTGGCACCTGCTATTTTCCAGTCACATGCAATATATTGAAATATTACAGCAGCTGTTAGGATTATTTTTATCCCTATTTTATACAAATTAGAAATCACTACTTAGTCAAGGTCACATAGCACATAAATTCAGATCTCACTAACTCAATAGAGTCATGTCTTCAACACTTTGCCACCATCATTCATTCATTTACTAAATATTTATTTAGTACTTACCTAGAATGTAAGTAACTAAGGCCAAATAGCAAAGACTCTGCTGCCAAACTGCTTGTAAGAGAATCCCATCTCAGCTATTTAACTGGCTGTATAACCTCAAACAAGTTAATAATTTCTATCGTCTTAATTTCTCCATCTATAACATGGTACAATATAGGTACAAAATACAAAAAGGTAGTATCTGTTAACTGTTAGGTTGGATTTAGATCACATGAGCAGAAGATTGGGGAAAGGGAGCAGAGGGGAGGGGAGAGGAGGTCTAATAAACTCCAAGAAGAAATATTTATTATTTAGAGAATAGAGATGATACAAGAAAAACTACAAACTACAGTTTGCTGTAGCATTGCCATTTTACTCTTGAGAAATGGTAAAAGAAGACTAGCATTTCAGGGCTTCCTGCAGTGACTCTAACAATTAGAGACTTAATTGCTTTGTTAACAGAATTCAATCAAGCTGTTTTAACCTTGCTTTTTAGTTAAATCACATAAGAAACCATTATGACATATTATGTAAAATATAAACAACTCTGACTTAAAGAAAAAAAAACAAACTTGAATCTATAAAACTATAGGAAACTTATGTCATTGGATAGAATGTTATGATTCATAACTACCGCCCAGGAACCAAAGATCTGTAGGTTTTTATTATTTGATAGAAAAAATATTAAGCATACTTTTTAACTTACTATAACACCACCATATAACAGTCATTTTTTCTTTACTATTGAGATTTCATCCAAAATTAATGTAACTTTAGGTTGGAGATTCATCATCTCATCAGCATTATGTAATACATCACAAGATGCATAATTAATATTAATACCGTTAGGGCCATTTTATTGTAACCTCCTTGTCTATAAGTAGTATTTAATCACTTTGGCCCTGATAGTACCAATCCATTTATTTCTGAGATGTCTTGAGCAGTAGTGATTGTATTGCTAAATTTATATGTGACATTTCTTCATTTCTCCCTTAATGAGTGGGTTTGATATTCTATATAAGGGAATATTCCAATTGCTGAACCTTTAATATTTTTGTAATCTTAGCTATTTTAGATAATTTTTTTAATGTATGACAGATTTCCTTTGTAAAAGAACTTATGAAACATTATCTAATCTCCTTTCTCAGTTTCTTCTGGTTGTTGTTAATTCTCTACCCACCCCTAAATGAAGGCATTTCCCAAGATGTTCTCTTCTCCTCCTATTTCATGTTTTCTCTACATAGAAAACTGCCTGGTGATAAGGTTTTTTGTGTAAACCATCATATTATATGCAAATAGAGACAGTTTTATTTCTTCCTCTCTGATCTTTATACCTATTTTTCTAAGACTTTTTTCACTGACTAGAACCTCTAGTGCAGTGTTGAATAAAACTGGTAAGACCTTGTTGAATTTTTGGTTACTTGCAGGAAAGCATTCAGTTACTTACTATTTTAAGTAAGATGTTAGTTCTAAGTTTTTCTTAGATTGCTTGTATCAGATTAAACAAATTCTCTTTTTGGTGTACTTAGACTTTTTAAACTATAAATGGTATTGTTTCATCAAAGCTTTTTCAGTATCTATTGAAATGATCATATGATTTTACCTCTTTATTTTACCTTAGTAAAAAATTTCTTTACGGTAATTTATTTTCAAATATCAAACTGATCTTGGTCATGATGTATTATCCTTTTAATATTCCTGGATTTGATCTACTTAATTTTTTTTGTTAAAAATGTTCACATCTGAAATCATGAAGGATATTGTTGTGTGGTTTTCTTGTAGTATCTTTGCCTGGCTATGGCATCAAGTTTATATTGTCCTTACTAAATTTAACTAAATTTATTAATAAATAACTATATTTACAGTTTATCTTCTTCTTAATTTCTAATTTAATTCTTTTATCAGAAAAAATACTGTGATTCCATGTTTGCCTTTATGCCTTTAGGAAAGTGTTTAACTCTTCTGCCCAATTTTTGATTGGATTTTTTTGTTTTCTTGTTGATTTGTATGAGTTCTCTATAGATCTTGGATATTAGCCCCTTATTAGAAGTATGGTGTGAAAATATTTTCTCCCACTCAGAAGGGTGTCTTACTATTTTAAATGATCGTTTCTTTAATTGTACAGAAACTTTGTAGCTTGACTTAATACCATTTGTTTATTTTTGCTTTTGTTTTCCTTGCTGTTGGAATCACCAAAGACATCCCTGAAACCAATGTTGTGGAATGTTTTGGCTGTTTCTTTCTATGTATTTTGTGGGTTTCCTTCTATGTATTTTGTGGTTTACATGCAATTCTTTAATTCATTTTGAGTTAATTTTTGTGTGTGGTGTGAGACAATGATCTGATTTCATTTTTCTTCAAGTAAGTGTCCAGTTTTCCCAGTACCATTTATTGAAAGACTTTCTTTTCTCCAGTTTATAAACTTGGCTCCTTTCTCATAGATTAACTGTCCATATAAGTATGGTTTATTTCTGGCCTCTAAATTCTATTCTATTGGTATGTATGTTTGCTTTCATTCTAATACCATACTATTTTTATTACTATAGCTGTGTGGTATAGCTTGAAGTCTCTGGAGCGTGGTACCTCCATTCCCCCCCCCCTTTTTTTTTTTTTGTCAACACAGAATTTTCTTTTTTGGCTATGCACGGTCTTTTGTGGTTCCATGTAAGTTTCAGTAATGTCTGCTCTTTATTTGAAGAGTACCATTGAAATTTTGATAGGGATTGTATTGAATCTCTATATTGCTTTATTGGGTAAGATAGACACTTTAATAATGTTGATTCTTCCAATCCTTCATCATGGAATACATTTCTGTTTCCTGGTGTCTTCTGTTTCTTTCAGCACAGTGTTGTAGTTTCATTGAATTTTGTTTGTTTGTTTGTTTTTGTCTTTCACCTCCTTTATTAGATTTGTCCTTAAGCCCAGTCAATATTTTCACACTAAAAACCTATAACTAAAGCCTAAGGTTTTACATAATCTAGCCAGTGAGTATATCTCCTTGTAGAACAGTTTCTCAACCTTAGCATTATTGACATTTTAAATCAGGTAGTTCTTTGTTGTGGGGGACTGTCTTTTCTATTGTAGGGTATTTACTAGCTTCTCTGTCCTATTAGATGCTAGTAGCAAACTTCCTCAGCCAGTTGTGACAATTAGATAATGTCTCAAAACATTGCCATATATCTTTGGTGTTGCAAATTGCCCCCAATTGAGAACCACTTCTGTTAACTCTAACTAGAAGCTTCATTCATGAAATGCGTAACTGTTATGCTTTATGAGAATCACTAGTACATGTTTTAGTCACTCTGGCTACAGCATATAATATTCTGATTTTTGAAGAATTACTTTTTATCTTGTCTCCCTGTAGAAAACTTGAAAAAATGTATTCTTTTTGTAAATGATAGTATGATTCTCCTCTCTTTTCTCTAGGAGCTCACTTGACCATTATATTTATTGAAAACTTGAAAGGGAGAGGAAGAATTGAAATTTTTTAGTGCCATGTTCCACGTATTTTAAATCTTAAAAATCATTACTGTCAGCAGTTAGTGAGAGGAGCAGTCTTCTGTTGCATTATAGTTAAACTGCCTATAGTCTGAATTTGATATAATATGAAAGCTCATAGTCAAAATATTCTTCACATCTCAGTTTCTTTATGTTGGTCTTTTCAAAATTTTGCCTCCCCTTCCTTTTTTTTTTTCCTTTTCAGACAATCCATGTTCTTATGGGAAATGCTGTGCAACCCTTATTGACTTCAGTGGGAGATGCTATAGAGGCCATAATCATCACCATGCATCAAGAAGATTTTTCTGGGTAATAATTTTCAATCAAAATTTTCACTAACCTTTGTTGTTTTTCATCCCCACCTCTACCCTAACTCCTTGAGTCTCCTATTACCTCGGAAACTGTTTCTCTTAATGCAGGTTTGGCCCTCAACATTTCCCTCTATTTTCTTGATCATTTATACTATATTCCCTTGGCAATCTTGTATTTCTCCTTTTCACAAGTACCATGTACTTCAGTCTCTGGGATATGCAAGGCATTCCTTGCATAAAATGTCCTGTTCGTGGCATTGTGCTAGTCTGAATCCTGTTCTGGCTTTCAGGGCAAGCCCCTTCCTAACCTCTTCCAATAATGGACTTCCTTTCTCAGAGTTTAATGGTAATGTAATCTGGTCATATCGCACCTACCCATAAACACTTGGGTATTTTTCCATAGCAGTTTCATGTGTAGTGCTTATGCATATTTTATATACCTTGAGAAAAGAGTCATAGTAATAAACACCTAATTGAATCTTTTTAGAGTGAAATGGTTTTGGCTCAGTACACAAGAAAACTATCTGTGAAGAAGTTGGAATAGTTATTTGCATGTGCTTAGAGTGATTAAAAAAAAGAACTTATTCAACCAAGCATTCAAATGTAGACATGTATTCTAACGACATATTCCTAGTTCATAGTTACTAATTTTGAACTGTCCTGTTTGTATTTATTTTCATGTTTTTCAGTTTTCCAGCTACTAGTATTGCTGTTTGTAGAAAATGTGATTATTTCACTCACCTTTTAGCTTTTTGTAATCAGTTATTTCATTTACAAAATAACTTTTGAATGGTGAAAAGTCAGTCTGTTTTTAATAATGGTATAAAGCACAGAAGGATAAAGTAGGTACTACACAAAAATGCTATAATATCTGGAGATAAGAATATAAAATGCTGGTTATCAGTATTTGGAAGGAAATTAATTTTGTTCAAAAATAATCTGAAATATATCAGTTAGACCAGTCATTAGTTTATCTGAAAAGAAAACAAAGTGAAGTAAATTTTGAAGGCTTATCTATGAGTCATCAAGTTCTTTAGTAATTGTATTACAGAGCCACAACTAGTTCCTATAGATAACACATTAGACATTGAAAGTTAGTTTCCCAAATGGGTATATATTTACTAATTTGTTTAAATTCAAATGAGCCAGATTGGTTCTTTTATGATAGGTTGCGATGAGTAGGAAACATTATTTTAAGTTGTATAACATTGTCCTTAAAAACATTCTCCTTCATTTTTCCTCCAATGGCCTTTCAAGACTCCATTTCAGCCCCCTCTACTTACACAGCAGCCGTATGAAAGCCATTCTCCATACAAGACTATACAAGAGTGCAAAGCACTGTTGCTTTATAGTGTATTGAAAGTATTGCTCCCATAGCAATTATTTCCCCACTTTCTAGAACATTATTTGTAAATCTGTTATGTCTGTTCATGTATATGTGGCTTTTATGAAGTTGGATCACACAATTCAAGAACTAGAAATAACTTTTATAGTAGGGTCAGCCCCCAGGGATCACACTTGGAAAAATTATTGTGAATACCTACCCTTTCAAAGTCTCTACATCTATTGAAAGTATGAAGAATAAATTGGGCCAATCTTATTTGTAATGTGGTTGTATTACATATTTAAAAAGGACTCTGTTATTTAAAAAGTAATCCTTAACACACTTCCTGATATTTGAAATGTATTTAATAGGACTGATATGTTTCTTTGCAAATTAGATAAAACTTAAAATATAAATGTCTGACTGATATAGTATGTTGATTGAAATTCTTTTATGTAAAATGATTTATGTCCAATTATATCTTTGAAGGGAGAAGGAAAGGCAGTAAAAGTAGGATTACCCTAGATCTTTGACATGAGGAATGAGCACCTCTGAGGCGAGGAGAGTGTGGACACACACACACACACACACACACCCCCACTGAAAAGACTGATGATGTGAATTTGAACATTTTCCAGTTCTCAGATGTGCATTTGTTTAATCCTTCTGTAATCAACTTGCATATGTAAGCTCTCTTTATAAAGACCCTTAAATTTCTGCTCAGTTGAAAATTATTCGCATAATTGGGGAAACTGAGCATTAGTAATTACCAAGCAAGTTTTATAGTTCATTTAAATCAAGCTTCTAATCTATACTGAGAACTCATAATACATATTTCAAAATTTTGTCTAATACATCATTTTATTTTACTTGTATTGACTCCATCATTTTATTTTACTTGTATTGACATGCATCTATTTCAGTGTGTTGTTTCATAATCCTCAGGAAAATGATTCCAACTGACCACTTTAAAATTCTTGAAAGGGCACCTGTGACTATACAGGTACCTCTCTTTTTCTTTCTTCTTTTCTAATAAACCTGTTCTTTTAAAATGTAATAACAAAATCTTGAAAGAATTCTCCAGAGTAGTACCAAGATAACAATGTGCTTTTGATGAAGCATAAGAAAATATGAAAGATTAAGAAGATAGGAAAGAGATTAGAACCCTTTTTTGGGGGGTGTAGTCATTGGGCTGACAAAACCTCAATAAAGCTGGGTCATGCAGTGGTCTGAATCTGCAAAACCAAACCTATGTGAAGATGGCCGTCACTTCCTACAGCTGTTCCTATACTCGGTAACCAGCAGCATGCTCCCAACCCTTTGACACTGCAAACAGCCTTGTTCTGTCTAGCATGCCCTTCTTCAATGCCTTGCCGCAGTCAAGACAGTCTTACATCTGAACAGAATTTCTTCTTGCTGGAACATAAGCTTTCTTTCTTTTTTTTCTATCTGTTTCTGTAAGTGGGAGACCTTTGGTAAGCATCCTACTTATAATAACCTTTGCTGCATTTGAAAAGAATTAAGTTCACCTCATTCTCTTGCTTAGGCATTTGAGTCATATCTGTTATTCTCTAGACCATTGCCAATTTCTCTCCGTCATTCTCAAAATGGAAACACTTATATTTTAAAAAAGATTCAGCATTATGTAGCCAGTGATCTCATTGGTTCACTGATTAGTATCAGGTGATTTCTAATTTTGGTATAGCTCTTCTTTCCTATAAATATTTCACATTCTTTTAATATTCTTTAAAAAGCAATTGTAAACATTTATAAATTATAGTGTTTCATGGCGCATCAGCTGGCATCATCTGTTGATGCAAATTAAAGCCTTTCCAAACCTCATCATCTGGGAGGAAACAATTGCATACCATGTATATTGTTATATAACCAATTCCACAGTCAGAGTTCCACTATCGGACTGATCAGATTAAATAGCACAGGAGCAGAGATATCTTTGCCAAGAATTTGTTTAGGAAAGCATTTTTGCCATTGTAAAGTCCAAAATGGCTATTTCAGGATCTGTTAATGACTTTTTCACTAACCAGGTAAAACAGGTAAGTGGATGGAGAGTTGCAAAGCTGGGAGAGACTGTGAGACGTCATAGTGCAAAAAACACTTATGTGAATCATCAAGATAGATGGTTGCTCTTTCACTCTCAATAATCTTTAGGCAGATGAATTCTAAGTTTCCTGCAGTAGTCTTTCTTGCACCTTAAAACTGTCTTCACAATATCATTTAAATATTGCTTTGTCTTCGGCTCTTTAGCTCATAGTTCAGGATGCCTTTTCCTCCCATTAAGGGAAAAAGTTGCTGAGGAGTGAAAGAATGGGTATTGGTGAGTAGGAAATGGGGCAGTGAGAGTTGATAGTTATCAAGTAAGTGCCTTGCAGTGCATCAGCAGTTTTGTTTTGTCTTTTCGTTTGCAGGTCCTTATCCAGCTCAGGAAAGCCTGACATTCCTTGTTCTCTGTATATGAAGGAACTGCAAGGTTTCATTGCCAGAGTCATGAGTGACTACTTTAAACACTTTGAATGTTTGGATTTTGTCTTTGACAATACTGAAGCTATTGCCCAAAGGGCAATTGAACTTTTTATTCGCAACGCCAGTCTCATAAGACCACTCGGTGAAAGTGGAAAAATGCGACTAGCTGCTGATTTTGCACAGGTAAATCGATGCATAGCTACAAAGGGGAAAATGTTTCAACCTCAATATTATCTGTTAAATAAAAGACTAAATATGTATCCTTTAGTGTGCTGAAGAATTGAAGCAATTTTTAGGAAAATAAATCCAACTAAACCTAATTGGTAAAAGAGGAAAGAGTTTTAAAGATACTTTCATAACAGTTTTCTTTGTGTTTAGTAAAATTATCACTCATCTTTGATAGCTCAAGGCTAAGGTAAAGTAGCTCACACTGCAGATAAGTAACATTTCCCATTTATACATGATATGGTACTTCCTCACTATTTTACTGTCAGTGTTGATAAGAGTACTTAATTACCCTTGCTGGAAAATAATGAAGGCAATGAAATTTATTCTTCAATCAGTGGTATAGGGGCTGTCTTGTTGTCATGTAACGAGAAAGAACTCCAACGCATCTGCACTCCCCTAGTGGCAAACTCAACAATCCAAGACCCTGTCGTATTTCATTCAGATTCATGGTGGACCTGGTCATTGTTTCTTAGGTATGGTGAAGTTTGGAGCCATTCCAAGCCATCTGGTATGAATGAGGTGGGATGACAGTAAAATAACAGAACCATTATCAGCTCTTATGGAAAGGAGATTTTTTTTTCTTTTGTCCTTTAGGTGGATATTTTAAAGCCCTTTGATAATATCAGAGGCAAAAGAAAAACACCTCAAATATACACTTTCACTAAAAGAATTAGAAACAGATGATTCATGTTTATAGTCAAAGGTGAACTCATATTTTAAGCCTCTCAAAGCTATTAGCCTTATAAAAGAATATTTCATGGGTTTTCCACATCTTCCTTGCCTATGAAGATAGACACATTTTATTTTCCCTATTTTTTACTGAGTGTATCCGAAAGCAAGTCTTGATATTTATTGTTTCCCAAGGATAGGACAGTGCACTGCTTAAATCAGGGGGGCAGTTTTCAGACAGATGCTCAGATCTGATGAGAATTACAGAGAAGAACCTGTATATGGACTGATGTTCAAGAGCCAGGATCTTTGCTTATTAAGTAGTCCAGAATTAGTTATTTAGTTATTTTCATCCCCACTGATATGCCTATAGCCACTAGACCAGCCTTCCTTGGGGTACTATGCATTTAGTGGCCTCAGCATGAAAATAGAAATTAAACGTTATCATTAATGTGGCTCCTTTTACTGTTCTCATTTCATCAGCTTTATTCTCAGGCACATTTTCTTTTGTTGTTATAGGTAAGCTTCCGCTTAAAGAATCATTCATTCCATACTGGGGGTGCTGGTGGCTTACTGAGATGAAGACAGTGATGTGCTACGACTTGCTTTTATTTGTTAGAAATGTTGTGAGCCGTACTCCAGTGGGTCTCTCTGTTCTTCTTTTCCCCTTTCCGCCTTAATTTTATTTTTCTTTCCTATCTTCTTCTCTCCCCGGGCTCCCTCCCCCACCAGTTTATTTGCATTCTGCTCCAGCTGGTCCTTGAGTCACTTTCCTGGAGGCAGCACTTCAAGTCCAATTAGAGTGGCAGCAGAGCAGGAGATGGCCAAAATGAGTGCAGCAGGAAAAAGGCTTTGCTTTTTTTTAAAATTTTATTTTAACTGTATGTTCCCTTATGAGTCCTGAAAGGTGGAAAGCATTATCCTGTAACCCTTGCCACTGCTGCTAGCATCTGCTCAAATGCGTAGTAGCAGCTAGTGGCCAGGTTGAGTGGCCACTTTCCTAAGGCTGCATTATTCAGAGTTTTGATTTGGCATTCCTTCTTTCTGAAGACATGCTGCTCAATAAACCAAGCCGTGTTCCGACGCATCCTCTGTTTTCCATTTCTTAAATACAGAAAAGAAAAACACACACACATTATTTACTCGGTGTTAAGACGTGTATTTTCCATCCTTGCAGTGACATCGGTTGCTACAGTCTGTGTGCTTCCTATTTCTGGGTTCACTCCTGCAAATGTGCCCCAGTTTCAGAACCACTCACCTTGGGGATGAGCCCCTGTTCTTTGGGTTGTGGGCACTGGAAAGACGGGTGGAAGCACTGTCATAGGCAATCATATTTGCGGTCAGTAGCTCTGGCAAATATTGTCCAGCTGTTCCATCATTCCTTCCACCACCCCCATAAATGTTTAAAAATTAAAGTGATTTTGTCTTTTTTCTTTCATTTGATTCGGCTGCTTGCCACATCTGTTGTACCTTGGCTTTCAGAATCATTACTTGGTTGAAAGTGTTTTTCTGGGGTCAGTCAAAACACTTACATAGCATTACCCTGATATTTGTATTCATGATAGGCATCACTGGGAATCAGAAAGCCTTTTGACTGCCTTATTATTGGAAGTTCTATTAATTTGTATTCAAAATTAAACAAAGTTGTTGAGCCATTGGAAGCAAAAATGCACAAATCCTCTGTGGTTTGGGAAGAGTTCTTGTGATGAAAGTGCCTGCTATTCTGGCATAAACAACAGAAGGAGAAAGAGTTCAAGAGAGCACTGGAGTCAGTTTGGGAATGCTGATTATCTGATATAAAATCCAGTTGCAAATACAGGTTATAATACAATTTAAAGATTTCATCAGGAATCCTGATTTCCCCCACTGACACCATAGCACTAGTGAGAGAAAATAGGTGCAGGGTGCCATATGGAAGGTTCACGGTGAGAGAAATGCCCAACCAGCCCCTTAGGAATCAGGTCGTGGGTTTTCTACAGGTAATTAATTCCCTGCTGTGACCACATGGTCTCTGTGTGCACGCTAGTCACACAGCAGTTCTAAAGCACAAAGCTTGTCCAAGACCACAGGGGTTTTGTTGATTCAGAATCTCTTTGGGGACTTGTCCACACTGCCCTCTGAAATACACACCCCTCTCCACCCCTCAGCTTCACTTCATTCCTGCAGGGAAAGGTTGGCTGTTGAAGTTGGCATTAAGTAATTTACGCAGTGGTGCTCCTAGGGCTTCTGGTGCCCTTTACATGTGCATGTATAACTGTGTTTGCCTGAAAATAGAAATTTAGAAAAGAAAAAAAAATCATCAAGATTTTATTTTCTGTTCTAATTCTTCCTGCCTTTTCTCCTGAACAATGTCAGAGCGGGAGTGCCCTCGGAGTATCCAAGGATGCCCTGTGGCTAACCAAATGTCTGTGGTGGGTAAGGAGCAGCTATGTAATTAATTTACTGTACCTGCAGCTGACCTCTCATTCCCTCCAAGTAGGAGAGCTGGAGAGAGTTGCACTTAGCATTTTTGTATCCACGGCTAATTGCAGAGTCACCTCCTCTAAGAGGAACACTCCTGCCCTTTAGAAACATGGCCTTTATTGTTTAATGGAATTCTGGCAGAAGGAAATGGTTTTCAGTACCTTAGAGGTTCTTTATGGATGAAAAATTTATTTTAAACATTTAACATTTTGAAATTGTCCTTTAACATAGAAATCTCCTGCATCATTGTAGATTGCACAGCCATTCAAGGTCACGGTCTCTCATATAGTGAGTTTTTTCTAGCCACTTATTTGACATTTCTCCTGCTCGAGTGCTAAGGCAAAGGCTTAATCTTTGAAAATGATGAAGCCCACTTGGATAAAAAAAAAGTTGCCGAATACATTTCATGAAATGTATTTCATATAAATTTCAGTGTGTAAAAGCCATCATACACAGAGCTAGGTGTATAACTGGAATGACCAAGTCAAAAATATATGATAATCACATTTTCCTTTGTGCTTAGTGTAAAGTAAATGACACATTCTGAAGGAAACCAGAAGCTCTCACCATGAATAAACTAAACAGGTCCCAAGGAATAGCCCATTACTCATTGTATTTTAAGTTGAGAACATCAATTCAATCTGCTCTGTTTTATATTGTTGACAAAAATCCTGACTGTTCTTCCTTAGATTTATTTACATGTGCTTTGGTATTTCTAACCATGTGAGGTTTCTCTTTCTCTCTAGGACATACAGTTTGTACTCTGTGTCTTCTGTGTGTTAAGAGAGAGCTACACCTGGTATTTCATCACCCTCAGGACCACCTCAAGAAAGTTTCCCTCCACTTCTCCTCCAACAATCGTGCTTAATAGTAATCATTATATATACTGTGTGTATATGTGTATCTGTATACACACACCTTACGATTTTGTTGGATAATAATTATTGTTTAAATAATTATATATCTCCTCCTTCACTAAATTTGGGAGAGCTCCTTGAAGGCAAAGCAGTCTAATTCATCTTCTCATCCCTTGTCTAGCTTGGTGCCTTGCAATTAGTGGGGAGTTCAAAATATTTCTCAATTTAGCACTTGGTTAGTTTTCCATGGTCTAACCACAGCATGGAGGTTTGAGCAGAAGGATAACCAGCAGACTAGAAGCCCCTCTTTCCTTTTTCAGGTTTTTCTTGAAGATAGATGTTACATTAGCAGAGAACTTTGCTCAGTTATTTTCTCAAGTATTCTTTGCTGCGGTCCTGTCTATAGCAAAAATGGAGAAGCAGTTTAGCATATTTTAAAAAAAAAGATTTATTTTTATTTATGCATACATGAACTGGGGTGTATGCCAGAGGTGCAGAGGATTCACCAGAGACAGAGTGGGGAACAGAACAGGCAGATTGACTGAAATACACTGCTGAGGGGAGCAGTGGGTGAGTCAGGAAAGGTCTGCTGTGCCATGTGGATTAGCTCCCTGGCTGGGGATCGAACTCATGCTCCAGTGGCTGCGGGTAGCTTCATAATGCTGAGACTTAACCCCTTGTGCCACCAGGTAGGCCCCAAAATACTAATAATTGCTGGTATTTATGAGCACTTATTATCTGCCGTGCACATGGTGCTTTATGTAGTTATTTATAAAATTCTATCAAACATGATCCCTTCCAGTGCCATCCATGTTGCTGCAAATTGCATGTGTTTGTCTTTTTTGAATGCATGCTCAGCGAAATAAGCCAGAAAGAAAAAGAAAAATACCGGATGGTCTCACTCATAGCAGGAATCTAGAAAACTTAAATAAGAGACCAGGAAAAAGAATAACTATAAGAAAGTAAAAATCAAAATCAACAAACAACGATGAACCAGAGACACTCTATGGGGGGTGGGGGGCGGGGAAAGGAGGGATTGGGGTCAAAATAAGGGGGTTGCAATTGTATGGGGAATATAAAAATAAAATTAAAATTAAAAAAATAATTAAAAAAATTAAAAAAAATTCTATCAAACAAGTTTTATCTCCATTTGACAGTTGAAAATCCTGTGAATTGAAAAGGTTAAGTTTAGGGCTATTCAGTTTGTCATGGCAGATTCTGTGTCCTTACATTGAGGTGGCAGCTCCAGAGTGAGTGCTTTTAATAACTTGGGCCACCTGCTTAAAATTGTCATCATTTATGTCTAATATAAAGAGACTTATGATACCTACTGAAAGCGTAAGTGCACAGTCCTGAAAAATGTTCCTTTTTCGGATTTTTCAACAAACATCTAAACTTCCTTCTCTTATGTAACAAAGAAAAGTTCTCCTGTTTTCCTGAATAATCACATTTTCCTTTGTGCTTGTGCTTAGTTTCTTTAGTAAACAAATTCAAAAGTTTTGTAAGTTCTTACCTTTAATAAATTTAATTGACTTTAAAACCTTGCCTCACAGTGTGGGAAAAAATTAAGTTTTCTTCAAGTTATAACGTTCTGTGATCCAGCTGTACCCCCAGTTCATTTTAGGATTCCAATATAAAAAGCTATGGAATATCTTTTATTATTTCAGATGGAGTTGGCTGTGGGTCCGTTCTGCAGAAGAGTCTCTGATTTAGGAAAGTCCTATCGAATGCTCAGGTCATTCAGGTAAGATAGGCTGCTATGATTGCTGTTAATATATCCACATCCTATTAGCAGGTAGTCCTTTCCTCCTTGAACTCTTTGAAATTGTTAATATTTAAACCATTTTGTGACCTACAACAGTTTCATATACTTCATTTTAAATGTTATTCAAACCAGAAACCTGTATATAATTATATGCAGTAACTAATAAGTGTATGTGTTGTGTGTATGTGTTATATTTAAGTTATAATTCATAAGTTCAAGCCAATAAATTTTTTTAAAGCTCTTTCTAGGGGGAGTGATGTACTCATAATTACATAGATATCTTTTTCTGAATTTTTCATTTGTTCATTTATTATTTTCAATCCAATCTACTTCTAAAAATGGTTATAGTTTACTTCCATAGCAAAGCTATTAAAGTATTCAAGGAACCGAGTTAGTGATGAGATTCAGAGAATGATTGCACTTGTAGATGATAATTTAGGTTAAAGATGGCTAAAGCAGTTCAGCACAAAAGTTAGGATTGGGTTTACTACCAGTCCAAAAAGAAAAAGAATGAATTAATTCATAGTCATGATAAGAACATACCAGTTTAACAAGAAAATTCTTTTTAGAATGCTCAAATAGCCTCTTACCAGAGGCTCAAATTTTAAGGAACATTGAATAACTTGATGACTCGTGTCTTCAATAGCAGATTTTAGAGTTAAAAAGATACTGTTCATATGATAGTTTATTCAAGTCAGAACTTTCCAAACTTATATCATCACACATGTAGGAAATGTATACATTAAAAAAGATGAACAACTCTGAAAGCTATGGGATGGACATAATATTATATAACCATTTTGTGACCACAGCATACCAGATGGGAAGCCTTGATATAGGCTATAAACTGTTCATCATATCTAAGAGCAAAGTGTTCTTTGGATGTACCTCTATAAAGATTAAATAGTCCAGGCATGTGGTTTTCTAAAAACTGACACAGTAAAAAGAGTGTCATCAATAGGCAGCTGACATCAATAGGCGCTAGGACCTCTGACAGGTAAGAAAAAGAATGGTGATACCTTACTGCCAGACTTCAAACTATACTACAAAGCTTTGTGAAAGTACTTAAATATTTTGTTGAAGTCTTAGGATTTGGCATTACCAAATATATGTGAATTGAAGGATTAAGAGGTTCTGAGGTTGGCCTCCCCTGGTGGCGCAGCGGTTGAGCTCTGGGCTGCGAAGCTGCCCGCAGCCTCTACAGTGCCGTTTCGATCCCCGGCCACTGGCGAGGGTCCCACATGGCGCGCAGACCTCTCCTGCTGCGTCCGCTGCTCCCCTCAGCAGTGTATTTCATCAGTCTGTCTGTTCTGTTCCCCTCTCTGGCTCTGGTGAATTCTCTCACTCTCCTGCACTTCTGACTGTACCCAGTGCTTGTATAAATAAATAAATAAATCTTTTGAAAAAAAAAAAAAAAAAAAAAAAAAAAAAAAAAGAGGTTCCGAGGTTATCAGTTTGCCAGTCAGCTGTTTGTACTATAGAAATAATGTTAACAAAGCTCCTGTAAAGTCACTTACTTGAGTAAGATGGTAGTACAGCAGTCCTGAGGGTGATCACATGTTCCTCTCAGCAGAATCAGTTTGAATGCTAGACAACATAACCATCAAGTTCTAATTAATGGAAAAAGGGATTGTCTGGGGTTTGCTATATTAATATTAGGCTATTTTGGGGGCTCCCATATTTAATTATTTTGTGTATATGTATTAAACATTTTTTAAGTTCTTTGTTATCTTCTTTGCTTATCTTTGCTAAGCTAAGATGACCTTTATCCACGGCTTATAAAGTGTGTCATAATTTAGAGATACAAATTCTGAGGGCTTCACAAAGGACCAATTCCTTTTTAAGTCATTTGAGATGGAAATTTGTCAGCCATGTGAATTCTCATGAGAGAATTCTCTAAGGGAGAGTTTATTAAGTTTGATTAGTGACACCTATTTGTGGAGAGGAAAAACCGAGAAGGATGAACATGAACATATAACCTTTGGACAGTATTAGTGTCACTAGTGATTTTTCCATTAGAGGATTTCTGCATTTTTCCAGTTCTCTGCCTTGGTTGTTTATAATTGTAATCAGAAAAGTCAATAAATACATTTTAAAATCCCATTTACATTGTTCTTCCATTTAAAAACAACAAAGGTGGGCCTCCCCGGTGGCGCAGCGGTTGAGCGCTGGGTTGCAAAGCTGCCCGCGGCCTCTGCGGCGCTGGTTCGATCCCCGGCTGCTCCCCGGCCACCGGAGGAGGGTCCCGCATGGCGCGCAGACCTCTCCTGCCGCCCACTGCTCCCCTCAGCAGTGTACTTTGGTCCTTCTGCCTGCTCTGCTCCCTGCTCTGGCTCTGGTGAATTCTCTCATCCTCCCGCACTTCTGACTGTACCCAATGCTTGTATAAATAAGTAAATAAATAAATCTTAAAAAAAAAAATAAAAACAACAAAGGAGCAAAAATAACATAAAATATACTAAACCATTCCCTAATAGAAGGGAAAGGTTAGGAAAACCAGGCAGCCAAGCAACCAAAATATAGCAGTTGAATCTCGCTCTGAATGAGAGGCAGCAGGCCTGGTGCAAGGGCTCCTTTGCGAGGAAGAATGACAGATGTTTCACACACACACACAAACACACACTCACGCACGCATGCACACACTCACGCATGCGCTCTTTAGCCAGGCCTCCCTTCTCCCATCGTGCAGACATCTGCCTTAGGGCACTTTCTTCTTGACGGCAATATTAGTAGACTGTTTAATCAAGCCAGCAGGCTTCTTGCATCCATTTACGTTTTACTGTCAACATTAGAGTTTCTCAGGCAGCAGGACTCTGTTCTTCCCCAGGACAGCATGCTGCCTCAGAAAACTGCTGACATTATGGATTTACTCTCAGGTAATTTGTATCTCTACACAAGGCACACGTGTTGGGGCTTTGAGATCCCGTCCTTGTCCATCCCTCTGCCGCATGGCACTGTCCCCTCATAATATAAGGATGATTATCTGAGCTCTACCTGGCCGGAGGCCTTCACATTCTCCCTGCAGCTCTTAGTGAGACAATAGACAGAAAAGGAGTCCATTCCCTTCACCAGTTCAGGGACACAGATCCTGCCTTCAGCATACCCCACCACCATGGCTTTGTCCCTGAATGAAGTCCACAGTCTGCTCTGCTGGAGCGTCACTAGGTTTAATAAAAGCAATGCAAGCTTCAAGGGATATGGGCTGTTATGATGGCTGTGTGAGTGTGAGGGGCAGTGGGAGAAGGAGGTCATCAATAACTCAGGTGCACTGTATGTCAGCTGGTTTTAATTGTGGAGTTAGGGTTTCCTGTGCCTTCAATTTGTATTGGGGATCACCTGCTGCTTGGAGTTCCAACTCTGTATCCTCCTGTCTGCAGAACTGAAAGACAGCCGTCTCTGCAGCTTCTGTTTTCAACACTGTTAGCGCTAGGACCTCTGAATATGTCGTCCTTTCTTTCTACTTGTAATCTGGAGCCCTTTAATCAATACCCTGATGTAATTCTTCCCCCAGGTGTTCTGATCTAACTTTCAGATTTCAGCTTTGTAGTCCGAAGGCAGCCACATCTCAGGCTTGGTTTGTTGTTTGCCACTACTTTGGAGGTGCTCGGAGCACCCGAGTAATCATAGTGTGATGAATAGTTTATTTTCATTCTAGTGACCGTTATTTGATCATTCACTATCTGCTAAACCAGTGCTACATGTTGCACTGTTATTTCATTTTACGCTCACAACACTCGTGACTTGGGTATGACCTCAGGGAGGCAGTTGATCCTGAGAGTGTACGTTGCCAGGCTGCACATCTGGAATGGTGTGAGACTCGCAGAGCTGCCCTTCAGGCCTGGGGCTGCCCAGCCCCACTCCTGTGCTTGATGTAATCCCATTTCTTATTCCAGAAGTCCTCCCCTTGGTTTTCAGTCTGATTACTCCTAGACCACTTGAATTTTGTATGCATCACCCAGCAACATGTAAGGAAATTTTGAAGAGAATCTATATTCCTCAATTTGGTGATAACCTCCTGTTACTGAAGTGCCCTCTCTCTCCACTTCTGCAGACAGGCATCAGGAGATGAATCCGAAATGTTGAGCCAAATGTCCACTCTTACTCTAGAGTGTCTGCCTAAACCCTGTGCATACTTTCTGACCTGATCTGCTAGGATTGACAACCTAGGCTTTAAGAAATGAACTTGGAAGTCTTCCACCCCCTCTCCTCTGCTCCCTGACCCATCACCACCTGTTAGCCTCCTGTTTCAGTCTTTCCCAGGAGCCACATCAAGAAATATGTGAGCCTTACCAAAATAATCTCCACTGAGGCCTGTTTTCCAGGAGGCCTCTGATACCTCTTTCGTCCCTTCCTCAGAAGGTCCTGATTGTGTCCTGAGCAGGGAGGCTTCGTGTTTTCCTGTCTCGTTTCTATGCTGGTTCCAGAACTCCATGTGTCTCCTCAGCCGTCTCACTGCCTTCCCAGGCTGTCATCAAAGAGAAGCGTGGGTAGGGGTGGTTAGCCCAGGCAGCATGGGCCTTACTGACGTGGACACATGAGCAGCAGGACTCTAATCTTACTTCACTTAAGATTGGCCTTAAAAGGAGACTGACAGCTGTGCAGCTGAGTCATTAAATATGACGAAATGAGATCCCCTATCTGAAATAGTTTTTTCTAATGGGACCTAATACCTGACTAATCAACACCACCTAATGAGTGTAAAGTTTAACCATGGAAGTGCTGCTATGTTTAGAGTATTTTCCACTAAGGATGATATATTGTGACATTTGGCTCATCTGCGTTTCATAACACCTTGATTTCCTTTTGTTCCTGACATCACCACAGATGGTGATTTATTTTTTAACTTGCCAGGGTTTCAGATTCCACCTGGAATGAGAGAAGGGAGGGTTTCATGCTGTGTTCTTTCAGACTCCTAAACAAGAGAAATAAAATGTCTGCATTTGATGTTTACAGGTAATTATGTCAGTGATGCATAATATGGAGACAGATCCAGTTTTGCTTTTCACGGCTCTTTGGCAGTCCTGTGGTGACTAGAGTGGAAGATTTGGTCTTGGCAGAAATATAGTTGCTGTGACTCAGAGCTCCAAAGGGAGAGGACTGACCAAAAAATCCCATTTTGAAAATAAGCAGGTTTTTACAGGCTGCTTTGCAGGCATCTCAGCCACAGCCTCCGTGTGTGCTGAGCTGCGTGGCATGGCGTGGCATGGCGTGCCTGTGTGGATTGTTCCCTTCGCCCTCGCTCCCACTCTTCTTCCACTGTCCTTCTCTTTTGCCCTTGTGTCATTTACAGTTTACATCAAGAATATATTGAAGGAAAATATAGAAAAATGCAACTATTCAAACCATAAGATGATCTTAATTGCAATAAATTTCAAATTTGACTAAAGCTTCCTGAATCTGAAGATAAAAGAAACAGAATCAGCTATTAATCTCATTTTCAGAAGGCAGGAAATAGATTAATTCCCAAGCGAAGGTTTGTTGTTAATTTGCACCCAATTCCAAGGCTTTTGTGCAGAGGACTCCATACAGGGCATACCCAGGTTGCTGGGGAGCCAGGACTCCTGGCACCTTCCCAAGGTGGAGGCAATAAAGGAGCCCATGTGACTGCTCTGCAGTAGGTCAAGAGCCCTCACACAGGACTGACTCCCCCAGGTCACCTTGAACTCAAATTAGCAGTGAATCCTGCCATATCACATGGCATGAGCAAAGAGTGCACTTTACTGGGGAGAGGAGAAACCTGCACAGGCTCAGGAACAGCAAGGGAGAGAAATGAAGCACGAGTTCCCTTGTCTCCCCACATCCCTGCGTGACCTTTCAGGGCCTGGACATACAGGGCTGCAGAATGAGCTGGTGATTCAGTGGAGGGGCCCTCTCCCCCCACCCCACCCCCATCCTACCCTTCTCCACCCCTTCAGCAATTACAGCTCTGATGTGGGAGCAATATTGTCACTGGCTCATTAAGGAGACTGCTGGGCCTGCCAGGGAGCCATCAGGGAGTGCCAGCTGCCCAGTCCCCAGGGACCTTGGGCTGTCAGGTGTTTGAATTCCTCCTGCCAGGACTAGAGGTCTCCAGATGCTGGGAAGTTGAGCTGGGCCACAACCTCACCTGCCTGGAGTCAGCTTTCAGAGGCCCTTAAGACAGAACCACTCAATAAAGCTGCAGGTCACACCAGGGGAAAAGAACTCCATGAGAGAATGTGATACTATATAGCTCAAGTATGTAGGTGACTGGAGGTTCACTTTAACCCAGGGAGAGTCTGGGTTACATAAAAAGAATTGCATGGATTTCAAATCATGTCCTATATGCATTAATTTTCTTAGGGTTTTCTAAGGTTGTTGGTAGTTTGAAGTTGTACTGTCTCCAAGGGTCTTTCCTTCTCACTGATAAGTCTACCTGTTGTGAAAACAGGATGAGTATTTGCTGCAGCTGATACCCTAAAAGAGGCTACTTTGCAGAATTCATAGCCAGGTTATCTAGATTTGAATCCTTGCTCTCTGCTCTTTAACTTTTTACTTAATCTTGCTACTCAGGTTACCTATCGGTAAAATGGGAATGTAATGATACTGTAGGGTAAGTGAAAATTGTCAGGATTTTCCGCCCTCCCACCATTAGCATTAATGATAGACCCTTGTGGTCCCACATGCATGCCTGATGGCGGCCACCTGGAGTGGGGTGTGGGCATGCGTAAGTGAGCGCACCTGGGTTGAGAGGCTGGGCATATAAGGGCGGCGTCACGGGGACACCTGCGGCAGCAGAATTAGTAACAGAGGCAGAGAACAGAGCCCGTGGGCGAACGCCGGAGATCCCAGAAAGAGTGAAGACTCCCTGGGGTTGGGAGGCCTGCCAGCATCCTGGTACCCCTACCCCCTGCCTGCCATGTACTTGGTTGCTGCACCAGATATAATGGAAAAAGCTCAACAAAAGCCTGAAAATGCCACCGAGGGCTCCAGCACTCTCCTAACCTGCACTGTGCCTTGCTGGCGCTACAGGTACCCCTATCCTAGGGTCATTTGAAGGAGAGAATGAGTTCGCATATGTAAGGTCTGTCAGCCTGACTTGGGCAGTGCTGGATGTGGTAACTGCTGCTGCTGTTGTGGCAACGGGAGCTTTTACCTACATGGATAGTTTCACCCACACAGAGAAGGATTTGCAGCCATACCTACAGACAAGAAAAACAGAATTCCCTCAGCAGCATTTTCATACCTGAGAAGTGCTTCATTCATTTCCTAAAGATCGTTGGCATGAAGCCCTGGGACATGACTGAGCCTTGAACATGTCCCACTTTCTCAGTGTGGCTCTCAGAAGACTTTAGTCATATTCACTTGAAAGACTTGGTTTGGAGCTTTATGAATGTCTAGTTGTAGACAACACAAATGAACTGAAGGAAATGTTTGCTCAAAATCTAAAGAATACAGGGCCTCCCCAGTGGCGCAGCGGTTGAGCGCTGGGTTGCGAAGCTGCCCTCGGCCTCTGTAGCACCGGTTCGATCCCCAGCTGCTCCCCGGCCACCCAGGAGGAGGGTCCCACATGGCGCGCAGACCTCTCCTGCCGCCCGCTGCTCCCCTCAGCAGTGTACTTCGTTCCTTCTGCCTGCTCTGCTCCCTGCTCTGGCTCTGGTGAATTCTCTCACCCTCCCGCGCTTCTGACTATACCCAGTGCATGTATAAACCAACCAAACAAATAAATAAATAAAACATGCCTCTATTTAAAAAAAAAATCTAAAGAATATAGATTATAGAAAAATGTTATTTGGTGAAGCAGCTGAAATTAGAAAAATCCCTGTGGGACATCATTTACTTACAGCCTAGGTGATATAAAGGCCTTCTTCCTAGTAATGTTTTGCATCAACAAGAACCAGCTGTTATGTTGTGAACCCTCCTGACTCTTGACATCAAGCCTGTCTTTAGTGGGAGGGAAAGCTGGTCCCTCGTTTGTGCAGCCCTTCTGTAGCTGTGTACTGTTGAGACTAGGCGAGGGCAGAGGCCAGGATACAGGGTTGTTTTATATGGTTCAGAATAACTGCTGCTCTTTCAAGAGCTGTGGTTGTGTCTCTCTGGAGAGCCAACTGCTAGAGCGTGACCAATAATCACCTCTCCTCCCTTAGAGCCCAGCTCCAAGGAGAGGTCAGTAAAAGTTTCCAGTTACTTTCCACAGGGTCGTGGGTGATTGGTGGTGGAGTACATCGGCAGCCTGCATGTGTCTGTTAAAATAGGGGGTGGCGATGTCCAGACATTGGTGTGCAGTTGGAAGGGGGCTGCATGAGTCTTTGATGGAATGGGGAAGAATGGTTTTGTATATATGAGGATCTAATTGCCCTTTGAAAAGTTATATAAAAAATGTTTTCATGGGCCTCCCCGGTGGCGCAGCGGTTGAGCGCTGGGTTGCGAAGCTGCCCGCAGCCTCTGCGGCGCCGGTTCGATCCCTGGCTGCTCCCCGGCCACCGGAGGAGGGTCCCACATGGCGCGCAGACCTCTCCTGCCGCCCGCTGCTCCCCTCAGCAGTGTACTTCGGTCCTTCTGCCTGCTCTGCTCCCCTCTCTGGCTCTGGTGAATTCTCTCACCCTCCTGCGCTTCTGACTGTACCCAGTGCTTGTATAAACAAACAAACAAAAAAAAAACGAACAAAACAAACAAATAAATAAATAAATAAAACATGCCTCTATTTAAAAAAAAAAAATGTTTTCATTTGGGGCCTCCCTGGTGGCACTGGGGTTAAAGACACAGCGCTATCAAGCTATTGGCAGCCACTGCAGCATGAATTTGATCCCCGATCTTTATTTTATTTCTTTTTAAAGCAAAGAGGTTTTTTTTTTTTTTAAAGATTTATTTTATTTATTTATTTATTTATTTATTTATTTATGCAAGCACTGGGTACAGTCAGAAGCGCGGGAGGGTGAGAGAATTCACCAGAGCCAGAGCGGGGAACAGAGCAGGCAGAAGGACCGAAGTACACTGCTGAGGGGAGAAGCGGGCAGCAGGAGAGGTCCGAGCACCATGTGGGACTCTCCTCCGGTGGCCTGGGAGCAGCCGGGGATCGAACCCGCGCTGTAGAGGCTGCGGGCAGCTTCGCAACCCAGCGCTCAACAGCTGCGCCACCAGGGAGGCTCGATCCCCGATCTTTAAAAAAAAGTTTTAATTTATCTACATGACATTATAGCCCAAAGAAGGATTTTATTTAAAATGAAAGCTAAGAATTTTAACCAAGATAAGAAACTATTCATTCCAATTATATTAGGCTTAGTATATACTCTTTATTTTTAAAGATTTATTTGTTTATACCTATAAGAGCCGGAGTATAGGCCACATGTGCGGGAGCAGAAGAGGCAGATCTACTGAAATACACTACTGAGGGGAGCAGCTGACGAGACAGGAGAGGTCTGCTGTGAGATATGGGTCAACTCCCTGGCCAGGCATCGAACTCGAGCTGCAGTTACTGATGATAGCTTCATAGTGCTGAGACTTAACCCCTTGCACTACCAGGGAGGCCCTATGCTTTGATTTCAGCATGAGGGAATTTTGCTGAGTAAAATTTGCTGAGTCAAAATAAAGTATTTTTGAGGTAAAATCAAACCCATGAGCCAGTGATCTTGGGAGTCAGGGAGCTGAAGTCCAGATCAGCCTGACCTAGTGTGTGTCTCTGGGTTGAACAGGGAGTTAGGAAGTGGTTAAGAATGAGCCAGTCTAGGAAGAATGCTATTATTTGTTCTTCCACTATTAAGCTGCTGTGCTATTATTACACTTGCATGATTCTGCTATCAGATTACCTCTTCCAATATTAAGCAGCATGAAATAACTTACACTTTCTCTTCTAGACCACTGCTCTTCCAGACAAGTGAACATGTGGCCAAAAGTTCGACACTGGGGGACATCATTCCATACAGCATTGTTATCCAGTTTTTGTTCACAAGAGCACCACCAGAGCTGAAATCCCCCTTCCAGGTAAAAAGTTGAGGCCAGATCTTTTTTTGAGTCTTCCCTCTTAACTTTATGACTAGAGAGACCCGCTCCCTGAGCGGAGTTCCTAGACTTCTCTTGTCTTGTTTACAGTGGAGTTCTGTCTTTGGCAATGTCCAGAGGTTAAAAAAAGGAAACTCCCCCTGCCTTACACCTACTTTCTCAGCTAAATAAAAATTACCTGATGAATCCAGATTAGTCCTTTAAATTATAATGACGTGAAGTTATGTTCACAAAGCTTTTTCGATGGACACGTTTCTTTGCTGACCTCCCTCAATCAGCAAATCCTAAAGGCTGCTGGGGAGTTAGGAAAGTACACCTCAGCCTGGGCCACCTTCCCTTGGGAAGTATTTGGGGATAATTTCATCTAGGGACTCCAGGCACAGCTGCCAGGGGGTGAAGAAGGCCTGTACTCCCTCTAATTGCTTCCTCCCTGCAGAGGGCAGAATGGTCTCACGCTCGCTTCTCCCAGTGGCTGGACGACCATCCATCTGAAAAGGACAGGCTGCTCCTCATCAGGTAAAGCCATGTATCCCAGGGGCACCTAGAAGCTCAGGAAGGGTGGCAGATGCTGGGGAGGGAACAGTGCTCGGGTGGGTGTGGCTGGGTGAGGGGTCCTACTCCTGGTGGCCCCTTCATTTTACCGGCACACCCGTGCTGCAGAGCCCAAGATTTGGAGCTCTTGGGCATGGCAGTTGTTGCTTTCCATATCCTTCACTCCAGATCGTCACATCCTCTTGCACTATCCCTGACTCAGCCCTGAGGTTAGGCACTGCTGGTTGTGAAAACCAGCCCTCAGATGGGAGGAGACTCCCTGCCCTACTTGACCATTTTCTGTTTCATTTCATGGTTCCAGTTGTTGAATTAGTGGAGCACAGATATGAATACACTTATCAAAATAACCCAATCATGATACAGTTATTGGTAGAAAACACCTGGGTTTGGGATCTGGTAGTGGGATTTCTTGCCGCCCAGGCAGCTTCATAGGCTGAGCCCCCGGCCGTAGCGTCTGGTGAAATACTCTACCAAGGCAGCAGTAAGAAATCACTGACAGACATCAGCCCATCAACTTGGATGGCACTGCGGCCCCAAGTTTGGTACCCAGAGCTGAGGTGAGCTATTGGCCAGGCACCAGTGTGGATAAAGGGTGGATTAGCCTCAGCCCCGGTATTTCTTCCTTGCTTCACTGTTACTCACCTCAACCCAGAAACAGTAGAGGATGCACGTGAGCCTCCCACCAGTTGATGTGACTGGATAAAACTACCCTCAGAAAGGCTTTGGGTAATAGACAAGGAAACCTGGGCCTGGGGCTTGCCCAGGAGTTGCAGTGCCCCAAGGAGTCACTCAGATGCAACATACTTGATAATAGAAGAGGATTCAGATAATTCAACAAGGTTCGTTTTTGTCTTCTTAACAAGTTGGATGAGTTCATCACAACAGTTGTCCTGCTGTGGGCACATCACAAATCTGTTTTCTTTTGCTTCTCTTTAAAAATGTCTCCTGAGTGATTTCATCGGCAGTGCTATTGCTAAGCCTATATTTAGCAAATGAAAATCATGCTCAGGAATACTGTCATGCTTTTGAAAAAGGCTCGCCCATCACTTCACATATGTCTGATATCTTGCCTTGAGCAGAAAATTGAGTCCTCCTTGGGGATCCTAAAACACCCTACTCCTGCTACAGCCCAGGCTGTTGGCATAGGGGGGAAATTTCTCCTAGAGAATATTCCTTATTTCCTATTATTGCAAAACTAATTTTGTCCCTGCATACTGAAGCACCACTAGATGAATTTCTTTCCCCTGTAGATAAACCCAGGGTGAATATTGCTCTTTAAATGTCAGTAAATTTGTTTTAGCTTTTGGGGCAAACCTTGTTATATGCTAATTCTGTTCCTCCTAGCACAGTACATTAAGTTGTCATGAAGTAGGGCAAGTGGAGGATGGTATAACTGCTGCTGAATAAATGGCAATAATGAACTCTCTTCAGCCTTCCTTTCTTTTTGACACCAGATGTTTTTCTAGAGCTTGAATGGATACTAGTCAAGCTGATTTTAAAATAAGAGTAATCACTGACTCATGGAGCCAAGTGGTGTGAGTATGGGAAATTGTATCTCCTCCACCCCTTCCAGGCAGGTGCTCCAGCTGTGTGGCCTCAGGTAGGGAGGTGGCAGCCTCAGGGACTGTGGGTCCGTGGAGTTGACTGCATTTTCAGTAAAGAAGAAGACTGAGTTTTTGATCCAAAGATTTCTAAAACCCTGCAGAAATGGTAGAATTGGCCTCAAACCCATTTAACTCTTGAAATTTGCAAATAGAGCCAAAAGTGATATCTTAGCTTTCTCCTTTGCTTGACTTTGATCTGTGTAAGTAGGAGACACTTAGGATGTGGGAAATACTTGTAGTTATTTGCCTAATGGTATTTTACATTTTTGCAGTTAGCAGTTTTTGGTGCCAGTGTAACCTCAGAGCCCTTGCCCGCCGGGGCCGACAGGCTGGGACTCACTGCTCAGCCTTCTGTCCTTGTGCAAAACGACAAGATCCTTGTGCTGGAGAGTAATGTTGGGGCTCCTGCTGGTGTCCCTGTGGCACTAGAGATAGCTTCTGCTGCTTTGCTTGGAAACTGAATGCCTGAGATGGGACCGAGAGGGAAGACAGAGCCAGGGGCGCGCTGGGGGTTCTGTGAAGGCCTTGGTAGATGTTTCAGCCATTCATGTGTCTCAGTGCCAAGCACACTGAATGTTTGGTGCCTGACAGAAATCCACTTGGTCAGTTTAAGTCACATTGAGCTCTGTTGTCGTGTTTCCACAAGCCATTCCTCTGTTGTTGGTACAATTCCTGTACTTTTTTTTTTTTCCCCAATAAGGGGAACATCAATAATCTGTTTATTTTGGTTAAAAACCAGAGTTGAGACTAATTCTTACATAATGCTCAGCCTGACTTCCAAGAAAGCTGTTTTGCTCCAGCAAATGAAGTAATTCAATAAGTGCTTGAGAATCTTGCTCTGACTTTGTGTGGGTGGGCAGATTTAATCTGTTTTCTCTTCTTGTAGTTCTGCTGGTGTTTTTGACAAATATAAAAAAAAAAAAACTAGCCAAACTCCTATCTAAATTTTCTTTTATATATTGTATAGTTTATATAATGTCTTTTCCTTTTGAATGCAAGTTGATTTTTGTCCTTTATTGGGTAAAATGGATCTAATTAATTCCCTGCAGAACCATTACGGCTGCTGCGCATTTCAGTACACTGATTGTTAGGCCGAGGTATACACCACATTATCTTACAGACTGTTGGGGCCCTCAGCGACTTCTTTACTGTATGTGAATCTGCGGGAACTACAATTTGTGAATCTGCAGGAACTACAATCTGTAGGGTGGTTGCCTAGGATGCCAGAGCAATTTGGGAAGTATTAAAAGAGGCAAATTTTTTCTATAGAGAAACAGCTTTATTAAGGCTCAACTCTAACATGAACTAAGGCATCTCATAAGATAGTTCTCTCTCAGGTCACTAAATTCTATTTCACATGTCTGCTGCTTTGGAGGATTCCTGCCATTATTTTTCTCCTTTATTTACTTTCTTCTGTATTTTGTCTCTTCATCTTCCTGTATTTCTAATTCTTTTTACTCATTCATTGTGTTTTGCTAAGCACCAGGTCCTGGGACTACATAATCAACGGAACAGCCCAATCCAGAAAGTTAAGTCACATCTCAGGGAAGAAACATATGAATGAACCGTGGGGAAAATGTAAACAGCTTGCTCAGTTTTAGGAGAATCTGCAGCCACCTGGAAAGGTGGTGGGAACAGTATTTGAGAGGGGTATGTGTACCTGGAAGAGAGCCAGGTACCTCAGAGTACTGTCTTTTCATTCTCCTGACTGTATCATGTGGGTATTTTCCCATTTTGCAATTGTGCAAAGAGGCTCAAAGTGTAACCCAGGTCACACAGCTACGTAGCAGGGCAGACTGGGCAATATATCAGCTGTCGTTCTTAAATAAGAGCCTGCCCATCCCTCCTCCCAGATTTTTTTAAAACAGTCATGCCCTGAATAGAGCATGGAGCCAGCCTTGGGAATCCCAAAATGTGGGGCCCTGCTAAGCATGTCTGTTGGTGACTATTCTTGGCTCCACGGGTGGTTTCACTTCTTTTGTGCTGTTTGGAGTTAGGAAAGGCCTTATCAGAAAGAGGGCATTTGAGCTGGGTCCTAAGTAAAGAAGTCACAAGAATTAAAACAAGTAAGGGCATTCCTAGGATTAGGAATATCAGCAAAGACCGAAGTGACTGTGACTCCATGAGACAGTGTGGTTGAAAAGAAACAGCTCTACCTGTCAGACAGGTTCTTTCTTAGTGCCCTTCACACAAACATCCCTGATTGCTCCACAGGGTAGCAGAGGGCTGCTGGACTAGGAGTCACAAAGGGGGTGAAACCATTCTGCACATTACTTGCTACGGAAACCAATGATTTGAGGGCCTTTTAGGCCCCAGCAGAATGTGTAGTGTCCACTTTGAGCAAGGCAGGGTTGGGGGAGGTTGGTGAAGAAGCCAGTGTTTGGTGACTTTGGGATGTGGCTTGATGGCAATAGGGCAAGGCGTGATGAGGACAGGCGGCTGCCGCTTGCTGAAGCGCGGCAGGCCCCCGGCACTGGGCTGGGGCGGCAGCGGGATGACCACTGAGGAGACGTCACAGTAGTTAGCACAGAACAGCAGGGTTCACGAGCAGAGGGGAAAGAGTCCCCATGTGGAACTGTAAGATAAATTCATAGGGTCTAATATACCTCACTAGGTATAAAATTTAAAAAGAACTTGAGACTGTTGGGAGCAGGGCCAGGTGGGAAGAGCTTTGTCCTAAGAGTGGTTTTGTCCCTATAGGTTTCTTCTCTTTTTTAATAGACTTTTTTTAGAACAGGTTGAAGTTCAAAGAAATTTGGTAAAACAGAGATTCCCACACACGCAGAGCCTCCACCCTCATCTCCCAGCAGATTGGTGCAGGCGTCACAGCCACGAACCCACATTAGCGTTAGAATTACCCGAAGTCCATAGTTTGTATTAGCTTTCACCCTTGGTGTTTTACATTCTGTGGGTTGGAATTGCCCTAAATTTCTGACAGGTGAGTTAGAGGGACCTGGGAGAAGTTGATAAATATGTCCAGAACGTAAGGGCTTGAAGTGGGCTGGAGATTCAGTTGTGTGCAGTGGCACACGAGAGTGGGCGGTGGATAGAGCGCTTGTGACGAGTGGGACAGCCTCTGAGCAAGTGAGTTCCCCACGGTTAAAAAAAGCCAATAAACCTGACCAATGGTTAATATTTTGATTATTTGAAAGACTAAAACCAGGTAGGAATTACTGTTAGAGGGAATTTGAAACTAGGTATGTAGCCAAGTAATGGTTGTATCACAGATGTGTTCTGTACCTCAGTGTGAAAACTTGCCAAAAATGTGACTATGACAAAAATCTCGGGCCTCCCTGGTGGCACAGGTGGTTGAGCGCAGCGCTGTGAAGCTGTCCGCAGCCTCTGCAATGCCAGTTCGATCCCCGCCGGCCTTGGAGCAACCCACATGGCGAGCAGACCTCTCCTATCTCGCCCATTGCTCCCCTCAGCAGTGTATTTTGTCAGTCTGCCTGCTCTATTCCCCGCTCTGTCTCTGGTGAATCCTCTCACCCTCCTGTGCATCTGGCCTGTACGCCAGCTCTTGCATAAAAAATAAATCTTAAAAAAAAAAATCTGTGTACTTGCAGACTTAAACAGACCATTAGTGAAAACTTGTTTAACCTTTCTTTTTAATGCCACTTAAATGTGATCTAACAATTTAACATCATATGGTTCAGGACTGGCAAACTTTTCCCATAAAGGGCCAGTTAGTAAATTAGTCTTTACAGGCCATATGGCTTCTGCTTCAACTGTTCAACTCTGTCACTATAGTGTGAAAGCAGCTGTAGACCACACAGAAAGAATGAATAAGAGGATTGGGTTTGACTTGTTTTTAGTTTGCTGACCTGATATAATTTCTGACAGTATCATAAGTAACTGGCTGGCACCACATACTCATGACTAAATTCACACTGCCCCAGTATCACATAATCTGCCAAAAATCAGGTCCCAAGATCACGTTATTCTAGTTGTGGGTTCTTAGTCCATCAAATAAAGGGAACATAAGCACCTGCCAATGTTACAGTGTGCACCACAGGGCCTCAGCCGTAGGCCTGTGCTCCAGTGTGCATTCCCATGTGCAGGGCTCCCCCTTGTGAGCTCTGTGTGTAGGCGCAAGCTGTGTGCTGCTGCTTAGAAGTCTTTTTTTTTTTTTTTTTCTTACATGGTGGTTCATTTTTGTACCGTATTGATTTCTCCCCTCAGATATAGTCCCCCTAAATATCCCACCACCACATCACCTGTGAGCCATCATGGTTCCCTGTGCTCTTCCCACTCATTTTGATCCTTTTTCCTCCCCCACCCCAGCTTTAAGCCTCAGATCTATAGTTTGCCTACAAGTTTTTTTTTTTTTTTTTGACCCTTTGTTTTCCTTATATTCTTCCTATAAATGAAACCATCTGATAGCTCCATTTTTAATAGTGAGGGTCCTCCACACAGCTTTCCATAGTAGTTGGACCGGTTTGCATTCCCACTAGCAATGTAAGAGGGTTCCTTTTTCTCCACATCTTTCCAGCATTTGTTGTCAGTTTTCTTAATGCGGGCCATTGTTACTGGTGTAAGGTGGTATCTCATTGCGGTTTTGATTTGCATTTCCTTGATTATAAGTGATGATGTGTAATTTTTCATGTGTCTTTAATAGCATATCAGGAAGCAAAACAGAACTGTTGCAAGGTGATTATTGATTAGAAAGCTAAGTACAATACAGACTAGCAAATGTTTATACGTTTACATGTTGACCATTGTGACACCCCCAATAGATGTTTGAAGACTGTTGGTTTCAACTTGTGCAACTGGGCTTATCATTTCCAGAAATGAGCTTATTTCATTTATATATTGACACCCTCTATTCTACTTCATTCAATTTTGACACCATTTTCATTTTGGTTTTCAGAGGAGCCCTGGAAGCCTATGTTCAATCAGTAAGAAGTAGAGAAGGCAAAGAATTCGCACCAGTTTATCCCATAATGGTTCAACTGCTTCAGAAAGCTATGTCTGCTCTTCAGTAGCAATGTAAAGTATTTGTTAATTGTTATTTTGTGTTAACCTCTTGACATTGTTAAACTGAGTAACATATACTCTGATAGCAACTATCCTCTATTTTAAGAATATAATTGATTTTTCTGTATTTCCTATTGATCTTTTTCTGTTGGCCTTTTTAATTCTGCCTTAAGTAGCAAAAAATGTCTTAAATTCATCCCCATCTTCAAATCCATGGACCTGCTTTTCCCAGAAAGACATGCAACTCTTCTCTCCCCTGACTTCCCTAAGGCTGAGATTTCGTTCCCATCATGTAACAGTCTTTCTATAAGTACACACACATATTAAGCCCCACTGATTTTTAAGGTATATGATAATAGGATCATAAGGTATATATCTTGCTTCCCCCTGCCAACCTTCCTCCTCACTAGATAACAAGTATTTAGCTCAGATGCTTCCAAATTTGAGTGCAGGTTAGAATCACTGCTGGAGCTTTGAAAAATCCTAACGCCCCAGTTGCAGCCCATACCAACACAGCTAGAAGTGGGAGTCAGGCATTAGTATTTTTTAAAAATCCCCAAATATGTTCTAATACACATCAAATTTTGGGAACCACAAGCATATCCCAAAGCTAAGATGAAGGGTTAGATGTTTAAATTGTCATATTGTATCATTAATAAAGATAGAGGAAGACTTTTACACTCTGTGTCACTTTATTAAAAAGCAGACTTTGGGGACTATATAACTTTGTAGCAGATGCCAAGTTAAAACTAGAAATAATTTTTATTCTACAAAGATTCTCTATAAATAGTAGATAACCCAGGTCCTTGTTTTTCTGTTACCTTTGCCCTGTGAACAGTTTTTCACTGTTTAAAATCCCATCAACAACTTCTTAATGTCTTTCCAGCTCTGAACCTGTTATTCTAACAACTCAAAGTTTGGTCAAGATCAATCAAGCAGAAGAAGTAAGAGATAACTCTTTTTTTTCCATTTTATTTGAAATAATATACAAGAATATAGTGTGCAAAATTTAGGGGCAACATCATAAAGTGTAATGAAACTGAAATCAATTTTACAGCTGTGATTCCTAACCAGAAACACCACTTTTTAAGTAACATGAAAAGCCATGATTGTAGCTCAGAGCAAAAGCAGCTGTATTGCCAATGTATTTGCTCTAATTTTAGACAGTTGGAGGAAAAGTAAAGTGCAAGTGTTGCACTGCAGTAAGTGCAAAGTCTGCCCCCACCATAAAGATATGATGACAAAATAAGATATTTAAGATATGTGGCTGAGGAGATATAGAACACAAAGTTAAAAAATACAATGGTGTCAACTGTTAATAGCACCATTACAGTGACTATATCCCAACGCTATGAACTAACTTTACCTTGGCCTGGGCTAGGCCTCCACCGAAAACAATGGGTGGGTGCTGCCACCTGGTGTAGAAAGTCAGCATGCTGTGGGAACCACAGCAGGTGGCTCTCTTGCTGGGACACTGACACCGTCCACCTGCCACATATTCTGGAAGCCTGCTGGCACCAGCCAGATGAGGCGCTCCCGTGTTTGGCACAGATGCTGAGCCATGGGTGGTTGCTCAAGGAAAGGCCAGGTCCCAGCTTCTGTTTCATTCCATTATGTATACAATACAGATTAATAAGCAGTAAGGAGCCGATGTATAAACAGCAGTTACATATTTTTAAGTTCCCCTTTTGTACAATTTAAAATAAAACAAGTATACACTCCTTTTTTCTTTCTACTGTACTTTAGCACCACAGGATATCAATTTTCAAGCCTATATCACCTGATAGACATATATGAATCTGGAAGAAATAAGGCAATTTGGTTTACAATGTTGATAGTTTTAGCTTACTTAATTGCTCTAATGGAAAAAAGCAAATCCTCACTCATATTATTAAATCATTTCAATGCTATCAGTATCTTATGGTCAAACGAATTCAGGACAAACGGTGAGATCTTGATCTTAAGTCTTTCCATCAACAGTCAATGTTTATGCAAATACAGACTTAAGAACACAAGCATCCTGGTTTAATGTTGCTGTGAGCCCTGTGGAGAGAAAATCAAAACTCAGTGAATGTTTCCAAACCAAACACAGTAATTCTAAATATAAAAGCTAGGGTGCATAAGATAATGTCTATTAATTTACAATTAAAATTTGGGTTTATCAAAGGTGATGATTTATAAAAGTTTGCTAGTATCTGTTGGCTCAAGCATCGAGAGAATTTATAAAAATGATGAAGAGAGAGATGGACTAGGATGAACAAAAAAGGAAATCCAGGTAAAATGCCATCAACTAGATTTCAAAGTTCATAAAAATTTAGATCCGCTCTCCTCTTCTTCTGGAATCAGGCTACTGACTACTTTCTTAGAAATTTTTGAAAAATTTAAGCAAATATAACCTTATACAGTACTATAAAGTAACTGGCATATATGAAAAAAGAACGGAAGACGTTCTTGGCTAGCCCCCCTGCTGCAAAGTACTGATGTCTTTCCTTTATTAAATATTTCCAATTAAACTTTATGTTCTATCACGTGAAGTTCCCTTTGTAAGTAGTCTAAAATTGCCTAACTTCAATTGGCAATTGGATTGCCAATCCAGTGATAGAAAAATTCTAAGAATTAAGTCTATTCAAGGGTGCATTTATCATGACGTGAACTTGTTACCAGTCTTCCTGGGCCTATTCCTTTTCCTCACGGAGGCTTTTAATGTAGAAATCCTTTGGAAATGGTAAAACCCTCCCCCGCCACTGCCATTATCTCTATCACCTTACCAATTAAGAAAAATACACCACCCCCAAATCAGAAAATTCTTCCACTGTGGTATTAATGGATTAATGTCCTTCTTCTACTACATTCCAAAGTTAGTTTTCCAGCTCAACATTTCTTGACATTCTTAAGAATGCATGAGATTTGTACTTTCCACTTTAAAGAGTAAATGTCACTTAGAGGAGGCAGCCTGCCTTTTATGGTGGTATAAAAATATTAGGTTTTGAAGTATAAAAATTCTGAGAAACAACATCAACACCACTTTTCAACTTGCCCGTATCATTTGGGAGATAAATCACGATAATTTTAAGTAACTATACTTGTTCAGACATACTGAATTGGTTCTTTTCCTTTTCCAACAGTCAGGATTTAAACGTTTTTGTTCTTCAGCCAAAGCCTTTGCTTCTAATGTATACATCCTCCTCTCTTCATTCTTCATTTTCTTCCACCTATCACCAAGGATCACACTTATGGCTCTGTTAAAAAAATATTTACACAATGATGAAAGCAAGATTTTTTCATAAAACTCTTGTCTAGTGCGGCTACTTCAGGAAGAAATGTAAAGTTAAAATTAAAAAAAACAAAATTTTTGTCCAACACAGAGAGGGAAAAGGTCAAGGCTATAGTCATTTCCAGTAAAATCCCAAGTCACATGGTCCATTTGTCATAACTTTGGCAGTTAAAGCCTCCTGGAATGGTGCCGATATTTCCAATTGTCAAAGGACATCTAAAATGGCTAAAAACTGGATGTTCTACTAAACTCAGACTTAAGGAAAAATGGCTTAAACTACTGTTGGATCTACTGTTACTTTTAAAAAGATGTTTCAGATACTGAGACAGACAATGTTTATTGTCAGTAGCATGAAGAATTCACTTTGGATTAAAAGTTATTTTAATAACTCTCTAATCTGTGCCTGTAACCTATAGAGCAACCATAGTGAAAATGGATAAAATCAAATTGGATAAAATCAAAAGGGAAAAAGTCACAACTAAAAAGATTCATCATGATACAAATTTGAAACTCTTCCCTATTTATCTACGTTAGTCTATCCCCAGACCTATTAAAACAAACGTTTCTTCCAATACATATAAACTATTTTCCTACTAAAGAGATTTTTTAACCATTAATGTCTTGGCAGTCATGCAAAACAAAGCCCTTGAATGACTGCATCTAGTACAAAAATGACTACAATTACAGATTTGGAAGCAAAAGATAGTAATCTGTGCTTTAGAAGAAAAATAACCACAGAAGTAAACCTGTAGTAAATATTTTCTTAATACATCAGTAAGTTTTTCCAGTAAATACTAACTCTTTATTAAAATAAAACCCATTTTCTATAGTCTTTGATATAAGGTCCTATAAAATAATGGTTGACACATTAACCAGTAGAACAAATCTATAGTAAATATTCATATATGTCAATTCCCAAATCAAAGATGCATTTGATACAAGAAGGTTCTTTTTAAAATCTAAATACTTAAAATTTAGGCTCATGAGACATTCAAATATGAATTCAAATTTGAAAATGGACAGTCATTTGACTTTCCTCATGATACAAGGGTAAAGTAATGGTAGCTTTGGTTGTCGGAAATAGACAGGAAGAAGATAACTTTAACGGGCAGAGAAGCTTTTAGTAGGTTTTAGCAGAGAACTTTAGGAGGTCAGATTAAGAGTACAAATGGAGTAGAATGGATTCGTTAATTTGTATTCCTGATGGGCCTTCTTGGTGGCGCAAGGGGTTAAGATGCAACCTATGAAGCTGTCTGCAATCTCTACAGCATGAGTTCAATCCCCAGCCAGGGAGCAACCCACATGGTGCAGCAGACCTCTCCTGACTCGACTGCTCCTCCCCTCAGCAGTGTATTTCAGTTAATCTGCCTGTTCTGTTCCCCACTCTGTCTCTGGTGAATCCTCTCACCACCCCGCATCTCTGGCCTGTACCCCAGCTCTTGTATGCATAAATAAATCTTTTTAAAAAAAAAATTGTATTCCTGAGCTCTGCTGAAGACCACTTTTAAGTTTAGTCTTTTCACAAATCTAGCAACTCTGATAAAATGCCAAAGCTGCAATCCCAAAGTGGGACACAATGTAAAATAAGTACATCCTGAGATCTTACACAAGAAAGTGCTATTCTTTTCCATATAGCTTTTCTATAAAGATGGAACTGCGGCCCCGTAGAAAGTGGCCCCATATCACTAGGTAACCTAATTATCTGCCCAGGTATTATAAAGTAATTATACATGACCCTAAAATGTTCACTTAAACTTTCCACTTAGCCTATAAAAATACAAAGATTATTTAAATGAAAAAATAACAGCCACTGAAGAGTAAGTCGGCTTAATACCCCAGTTACTATGAACTATACTGAAATATTATTTATCATAATTACAGTGATCATTATTTTTACCTGTTATCTTTCCCTGGATACATCTGAGTATATTCAACTCTGTATTTTTTGGCAAAAAGCATGAAGGCATTCATTGGTCTTTTGCACTTGTTAGGAGAAGTGGCACTCACAGTCCCTGAGCTGTGGTTTTTGACAGCTTTAGCATACAAAGAACTGGAAGAGAGCTGTGATGATCCGGGGGAGCCACAGTTTTTACTGAATCCAGATCTTGCAAAGTCTTGGCTTCCTGGTCCTCCACAAGACAAAGATGCACGACGCTGCCGAGCCATACTACTGAGCACGTAGACTGCAGAAGAATCCATAGGCGTGAAGTCATAGCTAAAAAACAAAACATGGTTATAATTTAGAATATCTGATTTGTAAAATCAGAATAAAAAAAAAAACTAACATCTAGTTGGAAATTTCTATGTATTTCCCATTACCAATGCTACTTTACTTCACCACTGATAATTGCTTATAAGATGTGTGTACTGAATAAAATGTTTTAAAACTACAGAGAATAAAAAACTTTTAAAAGACTTCAAAGCCCCCCAAGGAAGCTATTATAACCTATATACTTATAACTTGCCCATTTCATACTTTAGGTTAACTTTTGATAAATTTGATAATCTGATTTCTTGGCCTCAGATGCCTACAATTAGAAAATTCAAATATGGCAGGCATATAGAACTAAGGACTAACTGCTATAGAAAACAAGATGTTGAATATTAAATGTAGCTAAATGAATTTGAAATTCACAGTAATCAGGGTTATTTCTTTAGGTATAAACAGGCACATATATATCAGTCTCCCCAAATGGTCATCCTTTAAAATAGCCAAATAAATCAAAGTATGAAAAGTTCATATTGTTTAGGAAAGGCCCTATCTTGTTTGGTATATTGTTTATGTATGCATGGAAATAAGCACATTATCGCTTCCAAACAGTCTGCTGGGAAGGGTATTAGCCTCTCTTTTATACCAAGAAACAGGCTAAGAGAAATTATTATTCTCCCACGGCCTCACAATCACTAGTTCCAAACTCAGTTCTGCATGTCCACCTCCAGAGTGATACTCTGCGCTGCCATTCTAACGTCAAGGTGAACAATTATCAGACTGACTGAAAATTAGAGCTAATATTGTAGACCCAGCCTAGAGGTACACCTGTCAAAAAAAACTTTGTTCCGACTATTCCTCCTGCTTTAACTTTTAATCTTAGCAGAAAACTTTTTATTTAGTTTCTATTCTAAACACAGTTCTTAATTCCCTCCCTGAAATAAAAACTCTGGTAATAATCAACACAGGTCGATAGCAGCTATAGGAATAACAGAGTATCTGACTAGAGGTAATTCATTTGAATATGAATTAGTAAGACTGATAAAGGGAGCTAAATGAGTAAGAGCCACCCCACTCACTGTACACAGTAAAAATAACTTCTGCCAATTATCAACCACACAACATCTGTGTAGTCATGACATGAAATAAAGTACCTCAAAGTATAACTCTAAAATCAAATGAGTGTTTAGCAATCTGTACTATGTCACAGAAGCAACTTTGTACTTAAGTTCGTCCCAAATATAATTTTGAAAACAAAATTTAAACAAGCAGAGAAAAATAAATACTGTGTATCAGTTGTGTTGGAAGCTATGAAAGCCAAACTCATAAACACAGTAGAATGGTCATTACCAGGGGATGGGAAATAGGGGAACGGGACAGAGATTTGAGAGTAAAAGAGTAAGTCATGGTGATTTAATTTAATGCACAGTACAGTGAAGGTAGACAATACTGTACTATAATCACCAAACATGCTAAGATACTAAAAATTGTTCCAGTAAACAGTAAAAAGGAATGATAATTATGTAACATGACAGAGATACAAATTATCACAGTGGCAATCACATTACAATATATAAATGTATCTAATTATCTTGTTGTCCTTACATTTACAGTTATAATAGTCAAATAATTTCAATTTTTTTTAATTGGAAAAAATAAGGTAAAGTGAATTGCTTAACTGTGAAAATCCCACCATCTAGTGGCAAAAATACAATCATCACCTGCTTTCATTAGGGATACAATTTAAAGCAGTCTGAAATAACTCTTACTACAATTCAAAATTTTGACATGACAACAAGAGTACACAGAATACCCAAAAAAATAACAATCTTTTCTTATACTCCCTCAGCATTCTCTTTACCCTCTGTAATTCCTAAAAGGTGCCTTTTGTTTCACACTTCTCTACCTTTAGTACACATGCCATTCCTTACACTTAGAATACGCTTTCCTCCCTTCATTGGCTAATTGATACTCCTAAAAACTCTTCAGTAGTGTAGTGTCTATTAACCATGTCATATATATTAACTCATTTAATCATCCCTTCAATATTCTCATTTTACAGATTTTTTTTTTGTAAAACCCACAGGGATCACTTAACCTAACCCAGCTTCCACAGCAAACCTACTACAGAGCCAGGATTTGAATCCAGGCACGAATCCAGCTCATGTTCCTATCAGGCTATGCTGTCTCTCAGTCAGCCCATGCCAGCCCAACACACAGCTATTAATCCATTTCCTTTTCCAGACTAGACTCAAAAGAGACATGCCATAAGTTAACTTACTTTAAATCTCCCAAAACAGACTCTCATATTTGGTGAGAGGGTAAAGTGAGGTTAGGTAGTTAATTTAACTTGCCCATATTGCTAGTAAGTGGCAGGCCCCAATTAAAAATTTTACATATTTATAGTCTAAAGAATTATTTTTATCTCATTTTCCAAAGAGTGTATATGGCAGATGCAATCAAACAAAATTTAGATTCCAACCTTGCAGGTGTTTATTGAGCAGACAGCCTGTGCCAGCACCTGTGCTAGTGTCTTTTTTCTGTAATAATCTTCATGTAACCTTTTGATACATAAATATTACTAGCCTTATAATTTTATTACATTGAGTGAAATAAATTCTATAGACCACCAGAAACTCTTGAGAATCTCTGCTTAATACCTATGAAATTGATTAATTATCTTAGAGAATGAATCTTAAAATCCCAAATGTAGGGCCTCCCTGGTGGCGCAAGGGGTTAAGATGCAATCTATAAAGCTGTCTGCAGCCTCTGCAGCACGAGTTTGATCCCCCGGCCTGCCAGGGAGCTACCCAGATGGTGCAGCAGACCTCTCCTGACTCGCCCGCTGCTCCCCTTAGCAGTGTACTTTGGTTGATCTGCCTGTTCTGTTCCCCGCTCTGTCTCTGGTGAATCTTCTTACCCCCCACACCTCTGGACTGTACCACAGCTCTTGTATGCATAAATAAATAAATCTTTAAAAATAAAATCCCAGATGTATCTACATACAGTCTTTTTCTGGATACCTTCTGGGAGGAAAATAACCTACTGTCCCACAGTTTGCCCATCACTGGGGATTTTCCAGAGATGTGGGACATTTTAGTGCTAAAACCAGAAAAGTTTCATACAATTTGAGTGAGTGGGTCAACTTTCTTGACTGCTAAAACACATGGGTTCTTGTCCAATTCGACCGCTTACTAGCAAGGTAATCTCAGGTAAAATCATTTCTATCACAATGTTTCCAAATGTCAAGTTTTGCTATTTTTACTATTTGTTAAATCATGCAATTTTTGTCCTTGGACAAAATGAATATTTGAGAAACAAAGACAAAGTAAAGGGAAAAAAACCCTGACTGAAAAAAAAAAAAACAACAAAAAACAACAACTATTAAGAGACTTAGGAACTGGTGAAAAACCAGCCAGATATAGCAATTTATTTTTATATTAACTGTCAATTTATCTACTTAACTCCTGGTTATATGCACATGGTGCAACTCACTTTTCCTATATAACTACTCTATGTAAAGCTCCCATAGCTATTATTTTACTTCAATTACCTAATATTTTTCCACTTTATCACATATATGCTTCCTCGTAAGTATTTCTCTTGTTATTCTAAGTCTTTAAAGGTTTAACCTCCTACTACTGATTTAGCAATCACTAGTGAGATTAGGGATAAACCTTAAAAGAAAAATAAAGAATGCCTTATTACCTTTTAAATGTATCAAAAACACCTGAATCATCAAAGTTAATGGCATCGGGGTGTCCAGGAGGTAGACATACATCACCAATATGGATTTCACAACACGGAATGCCATGCTGTACCACAGTCAAGCTTGGATAAAACGATGACCAACCTAAAGTTAAATCAGACAATGGTTGCATAAAGGATGGGGATTGACAGAAAGCACCCTAATTATTTATTTTAAAATAGACATACTTTTGAGTCTTACAAAGTTTCTGCTTTAGTCTTAAGAGATTTTCTAAGACAATTCATGTATTTTTCCCATAAAGCAAGCATAAGTATTTTCTTTAAATCATACTTTTTAAAACTTTTTGCAAAAGCCTACTAAATCTAGTTTAAGTTAGCACCTTATTAATATGCAGTGTCTATCAATCAGCACTCCATTTTTCTATATAAGCTAGTAAGTGATGATTGAGAATGTGAAATGGTCTATAATTATTATATTTAACATGGTATCATTGTAATAACTCTGAAAAATGATTCAGGAATATATAGCACATTGGGTAATCCTAAACCAAAATAAAACCAACGGAATGGTCCACTTCCCAAAGTATAGCAAGATAACAGCTTATTAGTATGCTACAAGAATCCAAAGTTCTTCACACCCACAGAAGTAGAACTCCACTGAGTACTGCTAACATACTTAAGCATCATTAGTTATTATTAAAAGGCCACTTACTAAGATGGTTTTATTCAGTTTGAAAGAAATTTTCCCTTCAATTTTTAGAATTGCACCACAAGACATAATTATAGATTTAAGAAGTTTCTTTAAAAAGTTACTACAAATTCAAATTAAAGCCCTACCTTTATTTTTAACATAAAAGGGGTGGTCCAGCTTACACTCTACAGTAAGTAAACCATCTTCTACTGTACCGGGATCAAAAGTCAACTTCAGTACAGACTCGCCAAATGATACACTTTCTTCGTGTGATAACAACTTTAGACCATCAGAACCATATCCCTGAAAATACAGGTAGAGTGAATGAGTTGTTCAACACACAGTGAAGTTCCTAATACATGTAAGATTGTGTAGAAAAGGTAAAAATAAAGACAGGATCTTGTGTTTATGGAACGTTTGACCCGGTAGTAAAGAAAAATCACAAATATAACGTACTACAATATAAGACAGACTTTAGTTCAAGTAATGCTAATGGAGTTTAATAATGTGAGGTATTAACTCCAAAATAAGAAAGATACTTCCCATTTGAAATGGAATTTAAAAGAAAATTGAAATTTAGAAACGTAAAAAGAAGAACAGGCCTTACACCAGGAACAGTTGTAATTAACAACTTCTTTAGAGTCTAGTGCTGAATTTGCTAAAAATATGAGACAAGTTCACAATTAGGGCAAGGCAGACTAAAATATAAGGAGGGCCTGGTTACTGAGTAAAGGAATCCTAACAGCCAAAGTGCTTAAACTTTCCTTTCAGAGGGTACTGGTCTGTCAATACAAGTATTCTTATTACTATGGTTGTCAATTTTAAGATAATGATAAAGACTACAAAATATAAGATACTTCTATAAGTATTCAGTTTATTTGAAGATACAAGGAGAGAGTCTTGAAATGACAGATACAATGGGGTAGAACCAGACTAAATATGAATTCAACCAATATTTATTGAGCATTTAGTACATGCCAGATACTAGGTTCTGAAAATCAATCATTAACAACACGTGATCTCTACCCTTAACCTCACCAAAAACAAAGGAAACAGACATGTGAGCTATAATATCCATTATTAACATGAACATGAACAAAATAATGAAGGAGAAAGGGTAACTAAAAAAAATCTTTAAGGAAACAATTGATGGATTGAATGCGAAGGGAGGAAAGAGAATAAGTCAATTTCTTGGCTTTGTGTCTGGCAATCAAGAAGGATAACAACATTAACAGTTTAAAAAAAAAAAAAAAAGCCAGAAAGGGAAAGAAAAAGATGGGCCCGATCTTAGTTACACTTAAAGCTTGAAGAACTGATAGCTATAATATTTCTCCACAGATGTCTAATATTTAGCTGGAAAATATGCCATGTATTCGTAAGTAACAATTACAGAATCTTCCAATTCTCAGAGCTACAAGTCTTCATCCAGTCAAGTTTTATAGATTGAGAAGCCTACACTTAGTTGGGCTACAATGTGCCCAAGGTCATTCATAGAACAGTTGCTAGAAGAGCTAGAAAGAGCACAGGTTTCCTGACTCCAACACTACTTCCAGAGGCCATCAAGGAGGGGTTGCTGACATTATCCGCAGAGAGGAATTGGCGAGGAGTGAAGAGCAGTGTAGAAAGAACCCCAGTCAAAAAAGCTGAGGGAGACATCAGAAATAATCGGGGCACTGCCAAGTTACACACAGAGCAAGAGAAGACAATGTCAACTAAGTAAGTCAAATATTACAGAGATGTCAAACAGCAAGCAGAAATCTCTAGAAATTAGAATAAGGCTAGTAGTAACATTTGAGACAACTTATTAAAGAAGCAGAGGCCAAAGTCAGACTGGCGAAGTTTACTGTAAGAAGAGTGTCAGCAAGAGGGGGAAAGTGAAGGCAGTCAAGTCAGAACTATAGCACAGAACAGCAGGATCAAGAAAGGAATTTTAAACAAGATTACTTTACAAGCCAAATTTCTCTGCCTACAGTGAGATGAAGAAATTAAGTATTTCAAAGATGAAAGTTGTCAACTGATACTTATCCTACTGCTGGCCAGTACTGCTTTTACTCAATGGCTAAGAAAATGCTAGTTTTATGAAGTCATTTAAAAAGCAACAATATAATAAACTCTTAATTATCTATCTATAGGGGAATTACTTTATAGATGACCTAAGATAAGGCTGTTGTATGCTTATTCTTCTATTTATGCATAAATGCCAGTTTAGCTTTCCCCAACATAAAATGTATGAAAAGAGGGCCTCCCTGGTGGCAC